GAAAGTGGGGACTAGAAGTTAATACAGAAAAACACAAATATACCTGCCAATAGGTATCGAACTATCGAACATCACATTAGAAAATAACGAAATCATCATGCCCTGCGACCATTACACATACCTAGGAATCGTTTTTGACACAACGGGGAAAGATGATGAAGAAATAAAGAGAAGAATAACACAATCCAGAAAAACAATAGGTTGTCTAAACAGCGTACTGTGGAGTCATGAAATAGGAAAAAGAAGAAAACACAATATCTACGAATCTCTTATTAAAAGCAGTCTATTTAACGGAGCAGAAACTTGGCGAATAACCGAAAACAACAGAAGAAAACTGGAGGCAGTAGAAATGGACGCTTTTAGAAGATCAGTAGGAGTGTCACGCAGAGAGAGAGAATACGTAATGATGAGATAAGACAGCGAATGGGGGTTGACGGCTCTCTAACAACAGACATAGAAAGAAAACAGCTGATATGGTACGGACACGTCCAGAGGATGGATAACTCAAGACTCCGAAAAATAATTATGCAATGGGTACCACCAAACCACTGAAAGAGAGGAAGACCCAAGAAATCTTGGAGAGAGGGAGTAACGAAGGCGATGAGCGCAAGAGATCTTAGAGAGGGTCAATGGGATGATAGAGTGCCATGGAAATTAGGCATCGGACAACGTCGCAAGACGTTTAAAAACCGATTGATATATACTAAAATTTGCTTTGGTTTTTTAAATATTGTAAAAGGTGAAAAAAATCATGTTTTGAATTTAAACATTTTTTTCTCCCTACTGGAGATTGGATAACCAACCTCACTGGAAGGTACCAACCTTACTGGTCAACGGCTTTGGGCGAATGAGTTGGTAAGTGGAAGGGCACTGTTTTTTGTCCTGAGATTGACAAAGTGGTTTCAAGGCCGGATAAACCATGAATAGTCAACGGCATAAGGATGCAGAAGGCAACGAGAAGTTGCCAAAACTAATGGAGTGTCAAAACAAATCGGCCTCAAGTGCCCGGCGTTTCTTAAATGGACATGTGTGCAAAGAATCTTCGGGTGGAAAAACAAAATAAATATAAATCGTATTGCAACGTGGAATGTTCGAACATTATATAAAACTGGACAACTATTCTGCTTTCAATTTCAAGATAAGCTAGAGGTAAACAGTTTCAGATACGTGATCGGTTTCAGATTAATTTCTTACCATACATGTGACCATATATGGTTGTTGTTATGTTATGGAAACCTATGCATGTTTCTAACCATGTGATTACATAACACACCTACCGATTACGAATCTGAAACTGTTTACACCGAGCTTATCTTGAAGTTAAGCTTAGCTCTTGATCTAAAGCCTGCTTGATTAGCTCTTACACCGAGCTAATCAAGCAGGCTTTAGGCCAGAATCTTCCTGCATAGACCACATTAATACTGTGAGGGTAATCATTGAGCAATCGGTTGAATGGAACACACCCCTATACATGGTTTTTGTTGATTTCGAACGTGCCTTTGACAGCTTGTCTCATGCTGCTGTATGGAAAAATTTTAGAGCTAAGAAACATCCCGCAAAAAATAATTTTTATTATAAGGTCACTATATACTGATGCGAAATGCAGCGTGACACACAATTGGATCAACAGTGACGAATTTGACGTACTTACTGGAGTTAGACAGGGATGCGTGCTTTCTCCATTTCTTTTTAACATAGCTATAGACTATGTTCTCTCCAAACTAGACTCCGACACAAGAGGGATACAATGGACGTTAACCACACGCCTAAGCGATCTAGAATACGCGGACGATATCTGCCTATTAGGTCAAAGGTTCCAAGATCTAGCATACCAATTGGAAACACTTTCCACTGAAGCCAATAAAATAGGTTTGAAAATCAATACTGGAAAAACCAAGTCCATGAGATTAAATGCAAGGAACAACACGCTATTTATTATCGACAATATGCAGATTGAAAATGTGGAAAACTTTACGTATCTTGGAAGTTCCACGAGGAAACTAAGTTCCTGTAGCTGGCTGTATACCATATATCACAAAAAATTGTTAAAATCCTTTATAAAAGGTATATAAAAATGCCCCAAACGGGCTATCACAAACACATTGCAAAACGTTTTCGGACTAAACAATCCATCATCATGCAAACGGTTGTACATGCTAGTAGCCACCAAATATATGGGTCAAAACCCTTTAAATGTTTTAAATTTGTAGTTGTTTTACATTATTAGTATTTATAATTTGTGATGTTTAAGTTACCGTTGGATAGGTAACATGGCGGCGTATGACTCTACATGAGTAAATTGTAGAGTCAATTGTAGTAATCATGCTTAAAATTAATTTAATTGTAGGAATCATGTTTAAAAAGCGCTACAACAGTATGTTTCTAACTTTATTCTCTATAATGAAAGAGTAATAATGTTACAATTGAAAACCCACCAAATAAACAAACATAACTCAAATTTATGACCCAACATCAAGCAGAACTGATAATGACATAGATTCAATCTCTTCAGATTTACAAGATCTAAGAAAAAATATAAAAAAAGCATAAAGCCAACATAATAATGGGCGACTTTAACGCCAAAATTGGTACAGGGAAAGTTAAAGATATTGTAGGGAATTATGGTCTAGGAATAAGAAACGAAAGAGGACACCGATTAGTACAATATTGTCAAGAGAAACAACAAAAGTTATCACCAACACCTTTTATCAATTACCACCAAGGAGACTTTATACATGGAGTGCCCCAGGAGACACGCAAATAATCTGATAAGAAACCAAATTGATTACATTTTTGTTAACCAAAGATTAAGAAATGGGGTTAAAAGCGTGAATACATATACTTATGCTCCGACCACAATCTACTGCTTGCCAACGTTAACATTAAACTGAGAAAACAGAATAAAAAGTAAAATTGAGACTAGATTTGTCGAAAGCTTGAGGGTGGAAAATGTCAACAACAAATAAATGAAGCAGTGACACCAGCATTCAGAAAAGCTTCAAAAAAGAATAACGGTGTCTGGAACGTAACGAAGGCGGCAATACTTAAAGCTGGTGGAACGGTAGAAGTAGAAGAATTTAATATGATACACGACACACATTACCTACATAAGAAACCTTTGATTGCCTTTCTCTCCGTACAGCGTTTTCCGTTCTCCCAACAATATTGATATCATCAGCATAGTCAAGGATTTGCACTGATTTGTTGTATACTGAGCCGATGTTTGTAATTTGTGACATACGTAAGACAGAAGTGTTTGTTGACAGAAGGTCAAGTTCGTTCTTTATGTCTCCAATAATAGCATCTGATGTGAAAGAATGCATATACAAATTAAAAAATTCCTCATGTGTTGACTACTATGGTTTTAACAGTAAAATTATTAAGGAATCGCTTGATATAATTGTTGATCCACTCACAATAAATATTTAACAAATGTATTAACGAGGGTTACTGGCCTGATGTATTCAAAATATCAAAAGTAATTCCACTTTATAAAAAAGGAAATAAAAATGCTCCAGACAATTACAGACAAAAAATACCGAACAACTAAAGCTTTATTAGAAGTAATAGAACATATTGTTCACGGTTTTGATGCAGGTGAACCTACTAATGGCTTAATGTGTGACTTTACAAAAGCTTTTGATTGTATGGAATTCAAACATTATTGATAAAATTGGAGTACTATGGAATAAGGGGTACCATACATGACACAACCTTATTATGTAGAGGTAAAACTGATTACATTCAGAAAGTATTAGAAAAATCTAAATCCTGGTTTAACTGTAACAAACTTCAAGTTAAACAAGCAGAAAACCCAGACAATAGTATTTAGCTCTGATAGATGGTTACACCATCTGAACCAGTAAAGTTACTAGGTGTTACTATGGATACAAGGTTGAGCTGGTCGCACCATATTGAACGATTGTGTAAGAAGCTCGCCTCACAGATTTTTGCTATGCGCAGATGGCTATTTCTGTGAGTCGAGATATTCTTGGTCAGTTTATTTTGGAATGGTTCATAGTATTCTGACATATTGCATACTTCTTTGGGGAAACTCGTCCTATGCATATAAAGTTTTCACTTTTCAAAAGCAGCAATCCGAATTATTGACTCAGCAGAATATCGCGCCAGCTGTAAACCCTTGTTTAAAAAATATGGCATTCTTCCTTTACGTTCAATATATATATTTGAAATTTTGTTAACTGTTCATAATAATATACAAGATGTAAAAGCACATGCTGATCAACATCATTACAATACAAGAAATAAAAGTCATATCATTATAACCATATTCAAGATTGTGTGTTACACAACTTAGTACAATAGATTATAATCTGTATAATTGTTTTTTAAACCTAAACAAAATATTGATATTAAGGCAATGAATTCTAAACAATTTTATAAACTAGCAAAATACTTCCTGCTGGAACACTGTTTCTATAGTATACAGGAATTTGTTTAGGATGTTATAAGTTGATAAATTATTAGTAATAAGTTATTTGTACTTTATTGTAATTCATAAAAAATTTTCCTTCAAAACAATTTTTTTAGTAGTCAGTTAAACAGTTGGAAAATAAATATTCGTCTTTGTGGTTACATTTTCAAGGCCACATGTGAATTAGTAAATTACATTTATACCGGATATTTTTACATTACTAAGAAATTGGAATTCTAAAAATATTCGTGAAATCTTGTTTGCTAAATTATACAATTATATTAATAAGGTTCTGGAATTGTTTTCTTGTGACATGTCTAAGTTACATATTATGTTTATATGGGATAAAGCCATAATTGATTGTACTGAAAATTACATTTCGTAATTAATATTTGACGTCTCGATTTCCCCTCCGGAAATCGATTTCAAAAAAATATTTTAAATTTATCGGTTATATTTACCGAACGGTCTCAGAACATTTTTAAACGTAGAAACAAAAAAATTTCACATTCTAATTTTCAAATACATTTTTATTTTTGCAAAATAATCTCATTTAATATTTTAGGGAGAGCTGCAACTATACGTTTCTTACAAGTTAGGGGCTCAAACATTATGCATCTTTGATTCCAAAGAAAAATTCAAAAGTTACTTCATCGTCGATGTGACCAATACCAGAGCTCTTGTTGCAGCAGGCCATTCGAACACAACATCTCACTTATACGTCTCAGAAAGTTTAGCTGGCAATGGAAAACAGGTCAAATTCACGTTGTCCCTGGAAGATGTTTTCGTCTTTTTCCCTTTAACTACTTGGCAAGACACTTGGCTTCAGTAAGTAATGTTTTATAAAAATATTGATTTCTGTGTAAAAAATTTTCCTTAACCCCTTCCGCTCCAGGTCATTTTTTGAGGTAGAGAGCTGTATATCAGCAAAAGTTTTACCACACCAAATATTAAAAAATAACCAATATACAAAAAGACAGTGAAACATTTAATTATATTCAAAACAAAGCAAAAAATAAAATAACATTATTTGTATTATTATGAAAACTTTCAAAATGTTTCGCAGAGCAAAGTCCAGGTTTGTCAGGGCAAGCAAACATTTTCTCGTTAGTTTACGCACTCTACGTCTTTTACAAATTGCACAAACTTTTACAGAGCCCTCTATTTTCCAATTTCTTTTGGAAAATCGGCCATTACACGTAACGGTTCCACAGGTGTAGTACGTTGATTTTTTTATCATTCATTTCTTGATATTCTTTACTATATTTCAGAAGTATCCCCGGCAGCAGAATTTTGTAAAATTATTAATTGAAACTTGTTTTGATGGGCTTGGCCGTGAAATACTCTGGAGTTCAATAGTATAAGCTATATACTTCAATATAGTATATAGTCCCTATAGTTCAATAGTATAAACTATGTTTTCATGTCCATATACTGTACATTATATACAAATTTATATAATGCAGCAGATAAAATATATACGAATTATGTTTAATTTTAGCCACATGTCAGAAGAAGCATTTGCTGATGTTTATAAAGTAGAAGGTCTGACAGGCATTTACATAGCATCGAGAGTTATATCAATACCAGTTGGTGGTCATCTTGGACCTCAACATTTGGGATCAGTCATTACTTTCGACCATGGAGCCACTTGGAGATTAATTCAGCCACCGGCTTTCGATGTAGAAGGTCAGTCGTCAGGTTGTGTAACTACGAGAAACTGTTCGTTACATTTAAGCCAAAAATTCAATCAGTTATTGCCTGATACTAGATCAGTGGGGATCTTATCTAGTAAATCAGCACCTGGATTTATTATGGCCACAGGTACGTAACTGTTATTATTAATAATTTTAGTAGATAGTGTTAAAAGCAAACGATTGTTGATTATAATTAGATTACAAGTCTCCCAAACGTTTTATCATTTGCTACATATTTCTCATAGTAAATAATAAAAGTTGTGATGATGAGATCAAACATATTGTATCAGTATTATAGCAGCAAAATTACTTTAAACGTTTTTGTTTTATTGTCACTTATAGATCAGGATCTATGCTACTCATATACAGATAGAATTATATCTTTTATTTGTTAAAATTCAGATTAAAATGGAACAAAATTTTAAACAAGTTAGGTTTTGTGTTATTTGTGTGGAAGTGACCAATATGTTCCAACCAATGGAATATTAATTATAATTATTAACCTGTACTAATTATAATTTTTGTTCAACGATTTATGAGTTACAAGATTTTTAAAAATCGATTAGCAATCTATAGCTGAAAAAGATTTATATTGTTAGCACATTGATAATTATTATTGAATTTCAGGGGTCCTAGGAAAGAATTTGAAAAGTCACTATGGAATTTATATAAGCTTGGACGGTGGAGTAACATGGCGTCAAACACTAAGAGAATTATACTTTTTCAATATGGGAGACCATGGAGGTATTCTATCCGCTGTTAAATACTATAAAACAAAAGGAGAAACTCGTCATATTGAATATTCTATAGATGAAGGTCAAAGTTGGAATCAAACCGAGTTCCATAATGAAGAATTAAGATTATATGGTTTAATGACAGAACCAGGAGAAAATACTACTGTTTTCACTATGTTTGGATCTTTACCAGAACACCACCAATGGATTATCGTTAAAGTTGATTTCACCAAAGTATTTAAACGTAAATGTACGAAAGATGATTACAAAATGTGGTCTCCTAGCCACAGTGAAGGCCTTCGAAATTATATTCCGTGTGTAATGGGACTGCAAGTGACCTACCAAAGAAGAATGCCATTGGCAAAGTGTCTAAACGGCCTGGATTACGTACAACCCAAATCTACAGACGTATGTGAATGCGATTTGCTTGATTTTGAATGGTAAGCCTAAACATATTTAATATTCTTTATGTATGTATTTGCTAATTTATCAGGAAATAGCGAAATTCTTATTTTTAATAACTGTTCAGGATTCCTTAGCTTAATCTCATATAGTACTTTTGTTCTAATAACCCTTTTTTGTCTTTCTAACTTCCTGGTAGAAAAACTTAATTTCTTTATTTCGAAACTTTTCTTCAATATCTTAAATTTTTCTTTCATTTTTCTGTCTTTTCAGCGCTATACATATTTTCTCAAGCTCTCTTCGTTATTCTCTGTAGTCTCGTTTGTTAACTAACTTCGTTATAATTTGATAACATTGTTTGTGTTGTCCACTGCGTATTTCGTCATTTCGCAAAAATCAAATCAGTCTTGCGCTGCTCAAATTTTTGTATCGTGTCTTCATCTTTTAGTTTGCTGCTGTCATATTGCAAACTTCTTTCATCCAGAACTCCTTACCCCTAGTTGGAAATTAGCTTCCATTACCCCTATTTTTAAAAGTGGCAACAAACTCGACCCCAACAATTATCGTCCGATTAGCTTGCTGCCAGTAGTTGCCAAAGTTATGGAAGCCATTATTTCCGAGGAGATGACCAAATTCCTTCTCCAGGAACATGTTTATTCCAACACAACAACATGGATTATTCGCATGGATTCCAACACAACAACTAAGCTAGAACATTCGTAGTTCGCGGTACTTTACTTCGTTGGATAGATGATTTCCTGACAGATCGATATTACAAAGTTAGAGTTGGCGAATCTTTCTCACAGGACAGGTTAGTGGAAAGTAAAGTGCATCAGGGTTCTGTCCTTGGACCATTGCTTTTTACGGTTTACACCAGCGATATTCCCTATTATGTCTCAAGTAAAATATCGTTCTACGCTGACGAAACAAAAATATATTGCCAATCCAATCACAAACCAGCTAACCCTCCAAATGGACTTGGACTCTATTTTAACTTGGTGTTCCCAGTGGTTACTACCCTTAAACGCGGAAAAATGTGTGAGTGCTTCGAATTGGTAAAATACCCACTTGTGCCGTACTTTGTTAACGGGCAGCCATTAGAATCTGTGTTTTCGTATAACGATCTTGGTGTTATCGTGAACAGCAGCCTAACTTGGTCCGACCATATTACCTCTATTTGTAAACGTGCCAAACTCCAGACTGTATCTTATTCGGAGGTGTTTTTCGAGATTTTCAATGTAATCATTCTGTAAACTTTACACTCTGTACGTAAGACCCATACTTGAATACGCTGGACCAACGTGGTATCCTGATCTGGTTAGAGACAAGACTTTGTTGGAAAACGTTCAAAGAAAGCCACTCGAATTTCTTTGGGACCGAGAAGACTGTCTTATGCAGAAAGACTTAGTATGGCTAACCTAACTACTTTTGAACTTCGCCGACAACGTGGAGACTTAATTACAACATTTAAAAATATTAAAATTCAATTTTGGAAACCTCGATGAAATATTTATCACTAAATCAAGATGAACGCCTCAGAGGTCATCAGTATAAACTAAAGAAGAAATTTTTCTACAAGACCAAGACAGAACTTTCTTCCAAATAAAGTTTTTGAGTGCTGGGAATAACCTTTACGATAACTTGTCTCCGCTCCCTCTACCAATTCGTTCAAAAACAGACTTGAAAGTTTTATATTATAGTTAAAATATTGTTTTTCTTTTAAACCAGAAAATTGTAATTTTATTTCTTTAATTTGTAATTTTTGTTATTTACTAGTAGGTGATTTGTTTTTGGGCATAATAGGGACTTAGTTCCTCTGCCCTCGCTTATGTTTATAATAATAATAATTCATGAATGTGTTGCTTGTGTGAGTCCATATCAAATAGGTAAAGAAATAATAAGACTTACTCACAATCAATTTAATTTAACAATCAGACGACCGGTTTCGCTTTCTACAATTTGCAAAGCATCTTCAGGTCTAGATACAAAGTTAAACTAATGCTGTAATAAAATAAACCCAATTAGGGTGGTGTCTAATAAAGATAAAATAAACAAATAAGTTAGTTCATACAAATTATAGTAATTATGCCAATATTACATGTCTGTGGTTTTCAAAATAAATAAATTTGAATATATAAAAGGTATTAACAGACAAGGTAAGACCCACAATTGTATAAAGTAGTAATATTATATTGTAATAAATTAATAAATGAGCAGATAAATAAAACAAAACAAACATTACTTACATGCCGGTACTCTATTAATTGATGGATGGTAGGTCATGGTTGCAAAAATCATGTATTGTTGATTGGAGATTCTTTGAATTTGAAACTTATTAATTAAAATTGTTAAAGTATGCCAATATTAAACACATCAATTTACTTTGATTTCTAATTAAAAACAAATTTTGAGACATTCATTAATATCAACATAACTCCATAATACTGAATAACTAAACTTACAGTATTTAGTAATAGAAGAAGAACTGTCACACTTCAACCTACATATGTCAAATTTGCCTCTTAAATCTAATAGATTAAATATGAAAAAACTCATTATTTCCAACACTGAGATGTAGTGCTTACAGTTTCTTCCATTCCCCAAGTTTAAGTTTTAAATTCAATGTTTGTCCCGTCATTTAGTGTTTCTGTTAATGTGTGTTTAATTTGTCCCTGATTGTCTTAATTTGTAATAATTTTATATACTTTTTATATACTTTTTATATACTTGACTCTACAATAATTGATTAATTTTGCCAATAGACTTGATAATTACAAGTCAAAATAATTGCACAACCACACAATCGGTACAGCTACTCTTATTCATTGTCATAAAAACTGTCCTCCTTCATAACATAAATACTCAATAAATAACACACATTCCAAAAATATATCTCTGATATAAGTGTAAATAATTTAAATAATACAATAGTAAAGAACATCACTTTCATCTGACAAACAACCACAATATACCTATCTCTAATTCATTGGATCAAATCTGTTCTCCTCAAGAACTTCCCGTTTATTGTCAAACAACTGCAATAGCACATTAAAGTTCTCCAATCAACAATACATGATTTTTGCAATCATGACCTACCATCCATCAATTAATAGAGTACCGGCATGTAAGTAATGTTTATTTTGTTTTATTTATCTGCTCATTTATTAATTTATTACAATATAATATTACTACTTTATACCAATTGTGGGTCTTACCTTGTCTGTTAATACCTTTTATATATTCAAATTTATTCATTTTGAAAACCACAGACATGTAAATATTGGCATAATTACTATAATTTGTATGAACTAACTTATTTGTTTATTTTATCTTTATTAGACACCACCCTAATTGGGTTTATTTTATTGCAGCATTAGTTTACACTTTGTATCTAGACCTGAAGATGCTTTGCAAATTGTAGAAAAGCGAAACCGGTCGTCTGATTGTTAAATTAAATTGATTGTGAGTAAGTCTTATTATTATTCTTTACCTATTTAAATAATAATAATATTTCAGAATGCTTACCTAAGCTCATTTTTCTTTTGCCCATCATTCTGCAAAATTTATTCTTGCTAAGAAATTATCAAAGTACCAGTCAGCTTTCGTCATATCTGTGATGTTTGTTGTACATATCATATAGGATGAATAATAAAGTTATGTCGTTATGTCGAACATAACTTTTTGTTCCTTTTACTTATTTTTTAGCTTCAGTTATAAATTGTTTGATTAATTTAATACAATTTTTTAGTGATTTTGGATTTGTAAGAGTTGGTTCCCCACCACGATGCATTCGAGACAAATCTGCCACGTCACTTGATGTATACAAAGTTCCAGCTCCGTGCAAACCGGGCAACTTTTACAACCGTACTAAAGGCTACCGTAAAATCGCCGCAGATAGTTGTGTAGGCGGTTTTGAATCTCACTACCTTCCAGACATAGTTCCTTGTCCTTTCCACGAAGTGGATGATTTTCTGCTATTTGCTCAACGGGAAAATATTTCCAGATATAACTTAATACGTAAGAATTTAGAACAGTTACCGGTGCCAAACTTGAAGAATGTAATCGCAATAGATTTTGACATGGCAGATAATTGCGTTTACTGGGCAGATATAGCCGATGACACTATTGGACGACAATGTTTCGTTAACGGAAATGCTATAGAAATTTTGGTGTCGAACGATATATCATCAATCGAAGGTATGGCTTTTGACTGGATATCTAAAACTTTGTATTTCGTTGATGGCGTCCGTGCCAAAATTGAACTTATTAGAACGAACATAAATCATAGCGGAAGAATGAGGAGAACTATTTTGAATTCGACGGTTCTGCATAAACCGAGAGGTATTGTTTTACATCCCAGCCATGGATACATGTTTTGGACGGATTGGTCCGCCGAAAATCCTTCAGTGAATCGAGCTAATTTGGACGGAAGTAGCAATATGACTCTTTTCGGAAGAGATACAGTTGAGTGGCCTAATGGTATTACAATCGATTATTTCGCCAATAGATTATACTGGGTAGATGCCAGATTAGATTACATAGGTAAGTAATATGCCTTAAATTTAATAGTTTATTTTTCATGATAATTCCGCTGTGAAGAGTTCATTTCTGTTCCAGATTTTTCCTTTTTGTGCCATCTTAATATTAATCGGCTTTAGAAAAATGTTCTGCCTAAATTTTCTGGCTTCTTTATTGCTATTCTTCATCATTGCCATTATTCATGCCTTTAAACCTCTTAGTGGTGCCTATCAGACCACATACCCCATTATTCACTTCGCTCTACTTGGTCTGTTTGCATATCCATTTAAAACTGTGGCTTTTCAAAATCTGATTGTTTTGTGTATCAAAGTATTATGTGTTTGTATGTTTCTGTATTGTGTGTTGCATTCTTCTTCTACTAGTTCTTATCCGTTTCGGATGTTGGAAATCATATTGGCAATCATAACCTTGCTCGCTGCGGCTCGAAACAGCTCCGTTGAGGTTTTCTTAAACCATGTTCTTAAATTCCGCAGCCATGATATTCTCCTTCTACCGGGTCCTCGCTTACCTTTGACTTTACCTTGCAATATAGACTGTAGCAGGGAGTAACGGTGCTGATTTCTCATAACGTGTCCCAGATATTGCAATTTTATGCGCTTGATCGTAAACACAATCTCTGGTTCCTTCTTCATTTTTCCTAGAACTTCCTTGTTCGTGATCCTTGCTGTTCATGATATTCTCAGCAGTCTTCTATAAAGCCACATCTCAAATGCTTCAAGTTTTTTAATAGTGGCGTCTGTAAGCGTCCATGCCTCCGCCCCGTACAACAACACAGAGAAAACATAGCATCTCAAATGTCTCATTTTTGTATCAAGGGATATGTTGTGACTTTTGAAGATGGCGCTCATTTTGTTAAAGACCGTTCTTGCCTTTCCTATGCGGCACTTTATTTCCTGTAAATTGCTCCACTGTTCGTTAATAATAGTTCCCAGGTAACAATACTGTTTTACTCGCTCTATCTGCGTCCCATTAATGTATATATGAGCCCCATTTATATTCTCCTTGCTGATAATCATTTGTTTAGTTTTGTGGGTATTAATGTTTAGTCCGTACTGTTGACTGTACTCGTTTATTCTGTCCATTAGCCTCTGAAGTCCCTCTAAACTATCTGCTATCACCATGGTGTCGTCGGCATATCTAACATTGTTTACTCTTTCACCATTTAGAAGGATGCCTTCGTCTATTCCCTAAAGAGCCTCGTTAAAAATTTTCTCTGAGTACATATTAAATATCAACGGCGATAGGATACATCCCTGTCTAACTCCACGTAGTATTTTTATGTGATCTGTTTCTCCGTTAATTTTCATGTATGCGGTCTGATTCCAGTAGAGTTCTGAAAATATTCTGAGGTCTTTGTCATCCAGGTCTGCCTCTTTTAAAATGTTTATCATCTTTTGATGTTGAACTCTGTCAAATGCCTTTTCGTAGTCGATCAAGCACGCGTATACGTCGCAGTTAACGTCCCTGCATCTTTGAATCAGTACCTGTACTCCAAAAAGTGCCTCTCTGGTACCCACTGCTTTAATGAAGCCGAACTGTCTGTCCGATATTTGTTCCTCGCACTTCTTATAAATTCTTCCATGGATGACTCTAAGAAACAGTTTCAACATGTGGCTCATTAGGCTGATTGTTCGATATTCTTCGCACTTTTTAGCCCCCTGTTTTTTAGGTATCGCTATGAATTCTGATTCTAGCCATTTATCAGGGATGATTCCTGTATTGTAAATTTTATTGAAGACAGCCGTGATCCAAATTATTCCTTCTTCCTCCAAGAGTTTTAAAAATTCAGCTTCGATATTATCAGGTCCTACAGCTTTCCTGCTTTTCATCCGTTTTATTGCTTCTTCTACCTCGGATTTAAGTATGTCCGGGTCCGTCATCCTCTCTGAAAATGGATGCCTATAATCCGTTCTTTGGTCTTGAAAAAGTGTCTCCAGATATATTCTCCATCTGTCTTTCATCTCTTGGGTGTCAATGATTAATTTTCCATTGGTGTCTATGAGTTTCATTTGTGTTCGCTTTTTAAAAGTACCCGTTATTTCTTTTACCTTTTTGTGTACATTAAAATTGTCATGCTTGGCTTGTAGTCTTTCTATTTCTTTACATTTCTCTACAGCTTTTTTTTCTTTAGCTTCTCTTATTTTTCTTCTGATGTAAGCCTGCATTTTTTTATACTCATCTTTATTTCCTTTAATTAACCTTCTGCGTTCCATTAAATGAAGGATTTCTGGAGTCATCCAAGATTTCTTCTTTGTTTCTTTGTTTGGTTTTAGCAGATCTTGTTTAGTTTTCTTAATTATTTCGCACATGTGCGTCGTCCGCTTATGGATCAACTTCACTACGCCGCACATGTGCGTCGTCCGCAGCGAAAGGGTTAAAAGCTGCAAACTAGGGATTTTGTTATATTGATAGTGAGAAATTAGTTCAGCTATCACTTAATAGATGGGAAAATAAGTTCACGTGTCATTTAGTAGAAGGCAGCAGTGATGTATTAAATATCGACAAATGCGTGTTTGCCGGAAAAATCTGCAAAAACATTGAAACCTAGTTTTGTGGTTATGCCAATTATCTATTTGTTATGCAGTAACCATGGTCATATGAATCACGTGGTTTTGTTTAGCAAAGCAGCCCCTCCCAGTTAATATTTTGGCTTCGTTTGACTTTGAATTATCAATCATGATTGCATAACGTCACAGTGTCTTTTCTATACCATGCTCTCAGGTTAACAAGCCAGATTCTTCTTCGTCCTGGGGCCCTTTCACTTCAATTTTAACTTGCAAAATACATTGGAGTACCTCATACCTGCCTTGATTTCTCATTATATGTCCCAAGTACTGCAGCTTACATTATTCTAGTTATAAAACAATGAAAATCTAAAAAATAAAAAATTGAACCTTTCGCAGAGTTTTTAAGTGCTTGATAAATTTTATTTTATGTTATTTAGGAAGCTCAGATTTACATGGTGATGGTTTCGTAAAAGTAGTTTCAAATACCGACGTAGTTTCTCATCCATTTGCCATAGCTGTCTTTAAAAGTAATATGTACTGGGACGACTGGAAGCGAAACTCTATCTTCAGTTCAGATAAGGACAATTTTAAGGGCGTGCAAGTAATATTAAAACAGATGGCAGGTCTTATGGATCTTAAGGTATTTGCACATGGAATCCAAATAGGCACAAATGCTTGTACCAATACAACATGTCCATATATTTGCGTCGGATTACCGAAGAACCAAAAAGCATGCCTTTGTCCTGATGGATTGACAATGAAGAACGGCAAATGTATGTGTCCAGGAAACATAGAACCGTTAGCCAACTTTACTTGCCCAAGCGTTGGTAATAGTTGCAGTCCCGAGCACTTTACATGCAGCAATCACTTGTGTATCCCTAGAGGATGGAAATGCGATGGCGAAAACGATTGTGGCGATAATTCAGACGAATTTCAGTGTAGTACACAAACCTGTCCGCCTTCATTCTTTGTTTGTGGAGATGGCAAGTGTTTGCCTAATTATTGGAGGTAAGAGTTTCTTATTTATATCAGTATATTAAAAATGTTCCCCAAAGTTTATGTTACACAACCTACCTAACCTAACAACGTTACGTTACCTTATTTTACACAGCCAATACGTTTCCTTTTAATTTTCTTCTAAATTTTTATTCAGCTTCCTTCTCGTTTATTGAAATCGTCATTTTGTAATTTTTCCCTTTTATACAAATTTTCTAATCAAACGAAGTCAAAGGCTTCCTGGAGTAGAATTAGAATATTTGTTTTTTAGATCATAATAACATCGATATATAGAATATAGTCGCATATAGAAACACAATTCACTGTCATTTTTTTAGTCACGACTGAAGTGGAACCATATTGAACAGTATTTTAGTTCCTTACTGTACCACTAGGGAGCGCTCATGTGAAACTATTACTGCTTCTAAAATACGAAAGAGTGGAGCAACAAATGTACCTTTAGATATTTTCTTATGAGGATGCCACGTGGTTGTGTGCATAGAATGCTGAGAATTAAATTTTTGCATTTTATAAAATTTAAAAGGGGAATTCGCAGTGGTTGGCTGTATAGCAGTTTTAAAAATCTTACTATTAAGTAAAAACTTCTTTTGTAAAATGGTATAAAATTCACTGCGGGACAAAACCCAAAAAATGTTAAGGTGTTATGATCAAAAAACAATTCCTAATCTCGTTAGTAAGTTAGAATTGCTTTTTAGCAAATACATCAAAGAATTCTTGTTTACAATTTGAAAAATTCGAAATTATAAAGTTTAATTTTGGATTGTTAAATTTAAAAAATAATTAAGTAGGTCTCAAAAAACGTTTTTCTGGAGCTCAACAAACGAAGATGCGGAAAGAGGCAAAAATGGTTGCTGGGGCATGGACCATAGCAAATCATAAGAAATCCAAATCGGTAACACCCGACGATAAAAAGAAACTTCGGGAGAATACCATCACCCTCCTCGCAAGAGTTACTAAAAAACAAAGGGACTGTAACGAGCAGACTAGGGCATAAAGCAATGTGTCAAAAGTATTCAGAATGACGGTAGCATACAGGCCCATCCTGATACTCAACTAGATCGAGCTCAAGCAAATCTGATCTAAAAAAATAAAAAATTAGAAAAAAATTATAAAAATTAAATTAAATCAAAAGTAAATAATCAAAAGTCAAAATCAAATCAAAGTAAATAAAATTAAATAAAAGTAAGTAAAATTATAAAAAATTGTAAGAAAGTATAAAAAGTCATAAGAAATTCTAAAAGATTATTAAAAACTAAAAAATTTTAAAATATGATAAAAATTTTAAAAAATTATAAAAATTAAATCAAATTATATAAAATTAAATACAATTAAAATAGGTAAGTAAAATTAAGTAAAATAAAATAAAGATAATACACTAAAATGAAATTAAATAAAATTAAACAAATTTTTTTTATTTATTTAGATTTTTATTTATTTAACTCATGCTTTTTATAAAACTCTTTTTATGAATCGAAAACATTGCAGTTTTTTATGTTTTATTGTTGTTACGGCCAGTTGTTCTTCTATTTTTTTTTAAATATCGCCTTTTGGTTAGGTTGTCCATCCTTTATACCCATAAAATTCAACCTATATACATTTTATCATCATTTTATTCATATTTGATAGATGCTAGATAATTATATTTGATATCCAAATCTCCTTCTAAAGCTCAATATCAATTTACCTCGATTTAACTATATGCATACAATTTTTTTTTTGTAGATGTGATTATGATACAGATTGCGCTGATGGGTCCGACGAAGCTAAATGCCCTCGTCAAAACTGCACTGAAGGACAATTTGAATGCGAAAACGGAAGATGTATATCTTCAAAATGGCGATGCGATGGCGAAAATGATTGTAGAGATGGATCAGACGAGAGAAATTGCAATGATGGAAAACCCATCATTTGTAAAAGTAAGTTCAATAGAGGAAAATATAGCAAAGATGTTTTATTGCTTTGCACCTTGATTATTTATATGTTTATAGATTCATCGCTTTTGACATGATCTGTTATATTATACTTCCATAATATTCATTTTTATCCGCTAATAAAAAGCAAGAATCACCGTGGTTCCTTGTATACCGTTTAAAAGGCTTACAAAGAATTTTTATAAAAATTTGCATTTTCCCAAACAGAGTAAAATTTCAGAACTAAAACTAAAAAGATCTTCTTAGAGTGCCGTCTCCCTACGGAGGTTGGCAATCATAATGGCTATTTTTATTTAAGAACTTGCTGCTCTAAACAAATCAATCGATCTGCATTGATACCAATCACGTAGATTGTTTAACCATGAGTTCTGCCTTCGGCCAACAGATCTCCTTCCTTGAATCTTTCCCAATATTATGAGTCTCAAAATTTCATATTTTCTGATTTGTATAGTGGTGATTTGTTCTGTTTCTTTACCAACCCTCTCCAGTACTTCTTTATTTGTAATTCTATCAGTCCATGATATTTTTAATACTCTGCTGTATAACCAGAGTTCGGGAGCCTCGATTCTTTTTGAATTGCATTTTTTTAATGTCCAAATCTCAGCTCCATATAATAATATTGAAAATATATAACAGCGAATGGTACGTAGACTGATTTCCAAATTTAGATTTTTGTACGTTAGCGAGTGGCAGCACTATTCATACTCAAGCTTTCGATAAGATGTTGTAGATCCTCTATACTCGTTGCTATGATCACATTTTCGTCTGCATATCGTAAGTTGTTAATTAGGTTTCAGTAAACGGTGACTCCTGCTTAGATATTATTGAGCGTGTTTTTGAAAATTTCTTCAGAATATAAGTTAAACAAAAAGGCGATAAAACACATCCCTGTCTATCTCCTCTACAGATGTTGATTTCTTCTGAGTATTACCCATCAATTTGAACTATGGCACTTTGGTTCCAATATAATGTTTGCACTGTATTTATGAGTTTACTGTCAATGCGCTTGTTCATAAGTATTGATATTAGTTTTTCATGTCTTACTTTATCGAAAGATTTTTCGTAGTCAACGAAGCACAAGCGTAGATCAACGTTTACATCCCGACATCGCTGAATCAATATGTTGATGGCAAATAGTCCTTCTCGAGTACCCATTCCATTTTGGAACCCGAACTGCGTCTCGCTAATATCCTTTAGCCTTTCGTATATTCTCTTATGTATTACTTTCAGCAGTACTTTTAATGTATGACTCATGATGCTCAGTGTTCGATAATGAAAGCACTCTTTTGCTGCTTGTTTTTTAGGGATGGTTATAAATGCTGACTTCAGCCATTCTGGTAGTATTATTCCTGTATCGTACATCGTGTTGAATAAATCTGCCAATACTTCCAAGTTATCCTCTTCTACTAGTTTTTAACAGTTCTACTGATATTTCATATAATCCAGCTGCTGTATTGTCTTTAGTATCTCTTTACATTGTTTCATCAAATAGATTTCCTTAGCTGTTTTGATTTTTTTCTTAATTATTCGTTTTATTTCTTTATACTTCTGTAGATCTTTTTCTTTATATTTCCTTTCTTTCTTCCATCTGTAGAAGTATTTCTTCTGTCATCCACTGTTTTTTAGCCTCTGACATATGTTGTATCAAACTTTCTTGAGCTGGTTTCAGTAATGTGTTTTTTATATTATACTAAAAAGGTATAATAATCTTTATATTACATATGAAATGTCTTAAATATTAAAATTGAAGCGACATGAGGTTGATGTTAACAGATTTAACTTTAAGGGTGTACCCTCTTTATAAACAAAAGGGTGGTTTACACAAAGAACGATATTAAAGTCCGAGCTTCAGTCTGGTAGAGGTATATTGGTCGGGATTCGACAGGGCTAGACTACGAGATAAACGAGTGAGAGAAATTAATGAATTTAAAAATTATTGCACCTTGAGGACATGTAATAAAATTTAGTGATCACCATATTTTTTTTTAACTTAAACGATATTGGTATTTAAATAGGTAAGCAAAACAGTTAAATAATAATATATACATACATACCAATTAAACAGTAAAAATTTGCTGTTTAATTTATCAGCAGCTAACATTAAATCAACATAAAACTTAAGGTTTATATACAAACAGATTGTTAACACAAGATTGTTTAATATACTCCATTCGCTTAGCTCGGGCATATTTTGACAGATTCATTGTCGGAAACCTACAACACAACAATTCCTACTTCTCAGTATTAATAGCTCAAGTATACTACTATTGCAGACTTCTTTCTTTGAAAAAAGAAGAATTATTCTAAATAGTGGAAGTGTATACTAAACCTATCAAATTTTGGGTAGTATATATTTAAAAAATATGTTTTAGTTATTATAATTTAACATAAACTTTTTATCATATGGTGCAGATAAATAAATATTGATTGTCTGTAATTTGCAAAGTTCTATTTTATTTACTATTTAGTTGGTTGTAGAGTAATTTCCAGCCACTTTTAGTATGTCAAAAGTAACTAACTTCGCAAAAAAATAATTTCTAAATTCACTAGACAGTTTGGACTCGGAATAGCGAACCGAGTATATATAATTGTTTGTAAACATAAACATGTTGTGGATCTAATATTATTATACTATAATAATACTACAGTATAATTCAGCGTTCTGATTGCTGAATTCGGGCTTTGTTTAGTTATAACCTCTTTATGCATATATTTTGTTTTGGTTCACTGTTAAATTCATCAAACTCAAACTAAAAATACATTATTTGTTTTAGACGACGAATTTCATTGTACTAGCGGTGGAGTAACTTGCATACCTACAACTTGGAAATGCGACGGAGAACCTGATTGTACCGATGGTTCTGATGAATCTTCGTGTTCTAACAATACCTGCAACGATTCGCAGATGTCATGCGGACTCCCAACGAATCGTTGTATATACAAAACTTGGATATGTGACGGCGACAAAGATTGCTTGGATGGAAGAGACGAAGCGAATTGCACTTTTAATCACTCCGACATACCGAAGCGTCCGGATGAATTTCAGAGTAGGGTGAGTAAATTCGATCATTTACTTTCTGTGTTCTTGCTTTTAAAAACACAAACCACATTGTGTTCAGCGAAAGTGATAAGTAGTGGTAGTGATCCGTATTTCTGTTTGTGCTGTGTATAATTTGAGTGAAATTGTTAATTTTACTTGAAGTTGAAAAGGCACAAGCCATACCAAGGTTTCGACATTTTTAACTATTGAAAGACAGTAACTATTTTTAGTATGAGTTTCATGGTAGTACTATCTTCGCCGTCGCAGCACATATTTAAGTACTGTTCGATAACAGTTTTTAGATAACATAAATCATTTTTCAATGATATGTGTGGATTTAAGAAATTCATTCGGTAACAGCTTTAATCGTAGGAAGTCACGTACCTATATTCGATACATTTCGGGGGAACTAATATTTGTATGATATAATTTAGCATTCTGATGTATTCAAAATTGCTTTTGTTAAAATAATACAACTTACATTGTAACCTCAGAAACCTTTTTTGGATGGTGCTAGAAAGGTCACCAATGGAGAAACTACGGTGCAGCCAGGTGGTTGGTGAGAGCGATCTTGGGTTCGAAACTAGCTTTTGGAACCGGGAATGGGTCCAACGGACGAACTAAGTAAAGATATGACTAGATAAGATATATTAGAAAATATAAAGAAATGAACAAAAAGATAGATGGGTAAAATTACCAAAGATACGATAAGATAGAAACAGGGCGCCACTCAATTTTTTGGGTTTAAGGAGAAAATTAAGAAACCTTGGAAAAGAAAAGAGATAAGGAAGATATTTAGGTTCAGGGATCAACCAAGAAAATATATTAATAGTTAATTATTAAACAAATTTGTTCAACACACTATATAAACCAATAATAAATATATTAGGTATTACTTACCTACGAAACTTACCTACGAAATCAGTCTGATCTTTCTATTGGTCAAAGGTATAGTAATATTTAAAGGTTAATATAATTAGAAAATACCTTTACAAAGATATATAATATAATCATGCACAAATAAAGTGTTATAGGCGTACCTCGAGATATTACAAAAAAAATGAATAACACTTATAGCAAATAATAAAAATTAATCAAATCTAAATTTACAAGAATACAAAAAGGTTACGGAAATAAAAATTTAACCAAAGCTAACTTGGTTAAGTCGACTATCCGTTCGCACTGGTATGAAATGATTGAAAACTAAATGTTCGTAATTATTATTGATTGAAATTTCTTAGTAGCTGATGGAAAATTCGCAAGAAAATTAGAATTTTCTTTAAATTTAATGCAAAATTCAGTAGTTACTCCCAACTACAGGTGAAGAAATGGATGACTTTAGATTCGTCCAGATAATGGAAGATGATATGATACCATACCATATTATTTGCCCAGATAAGTGAAGATAATGATTACTTACAGTAAATCTTGATGACTACTGCACTAGGTACTTCACTGAAGCTATATACTATACTTAATACTTTACTTGTATCCAACACTGAATTTAATTAACATTAAAGGTACTTTATAACTATATTTAATCTAATATAGTATAAGATAAAAAAACTCAAATATAAAGTGTATACACACTTAGAAAACAATTCACAGACGGTAAGATAACAACGGCTTGCTCAAAGAAAGCCCACTCAGAAGTAAGTCTTCTTCTACAAAAATTTACCAAACTACCCAAAAAAAAAGAAGAAGGGATATCTCCCACTTAAAAATCATCGCCAGTTGTATGTATTTCTGAGAAGGTAAGATTCTAACGACATCGGAAAGTTTGAGGTATTTACGGTACTAGTAATTGGACGTGATAAAATATAAATCTTCTAGATTGGGTCTTTACAGAAAAATGACTATACGTGCCTTCGGAATATTTACAAATCTATCATGAAGGACCAGCCTTCACCGAAAAGCATTAGTTCCTTTCATACTCAGGATTAAGACGGAAGGGATTAAAAACCTTTCGTACTCAGGGAAATTCCGTGCATTCAATAAAATTTTGAAGATGGTAAACCGAACATGAGCGTATCATCACGGGGGTAAAAGGAATAAAAATAATTAATATTTTAATTATATAAAAAAATTGTTATTACAACATTATAACTCAATCGAATTTAATGCACTATTTTATTTTTAGAATGGCACATGTCACGATCCATGGATGTTCCAGTGTAGAAACCAACGTTGCATACCTTTCTGGTGGAAATGTGATGGCGCAGACGATTGCGAGGATAATAGTGACGAGGTAGGCTGTTCATATCCACCGTATCCGCCTATTGACAATCCGACAACACAAAGACCCAATACCACATGCGAAAGCAATCAGTTCCAGTGTGATAGAGGTGATTGTATCTTAGCTTCTTGGGTATGTGACGGCATGGAAGACTGTTTCGGAGGTGAAGACGAAAAAAATTGTGACTCCTCCGTAAATTGCTCCCGATCTCAATTTAAATGTCAAATCGACGGTAGTTGTATTGCGGTAAGCATAGTGAATAGATATTTTTTTTGTAATGCAGATGTCAAAGTTAACAAACTCTTTCTCCCAAACAAATCAAAAAAGCTACATATGGCCTCTCTATGATTTGACTTCAATTAACAAGTACCTTTTCTAGGCAACTGCTGTTTGCGATGGTCATTTTGATTGTCCTGATAAAACGGACGAATTGTCTTGTGATGACAACTTACCTGATGGACCTGGTGCTCCTAGTTGTAGCTTTGGAATGTTTCCATGCGACGAAACTTGCTATCCATTATACCTTCTTTGTGATGGAAAATATGATTGTAAAGATCGTTACGACGAGAAGGATTGTGCAACAAAAGCAAGAGTCTACCAAATCAGTCAGATGGAAGTTGACGAAAGGTATAGTTTGACAAGGCTATCAACAATTGTTTATATATACGTAGTTTAAGTTCATCTTTAAAATATTTTTTCTTTATTCAGTGTTTTTTAAAAAGGGAATTAAAAAATGAAAAAACGTATAGTCGGCACGTAATTTCGTGAGAAAATTTACAGAGACCAAAGCAAGCACAATACTAGTAAAATGGCAACGCTGTTAGAGTTACCACTACTTTATTGTAGTACATAGTAGTAGAACAGTAGCGTAGATATCTAATTTTAAATTAAATAAAAGTTTTTACTTTTATTTAATTTTATTTACCAAAAAGTTTCATTGACTATAAAGTTTAAATAAAAAATATCGGTGTTTTTAACTTCTGTGATATATCGTGGGAGTGATAACACTAATCGACTCGACTGAACAGAACTTATTGTAAAATAATAATATCTATATAAAACATTATTAATAATAGTAGTTATTCAGCGAGAATGACAGTGACAGTTTCAGTTGACATCCTCCCCTAAAACATTAATAATTTTTGTCCTATCAAGAAGTGTGTTTATACCCTGTTTTCAAAGATATATAAGCAAAATGAGAATATCTACAATTAAAATAGAAATAAAGGTTTCAACTAACACCTAATAAGTACTTACTATCTACTCAGAATCACTGTTATCACTAGTATCACTCGTATCATCTAAATTTATAGGTAATTTGGTTAATGCTGGTAAATATTTAACATAGTCATTTTCCACTCCGATCACATGTTTTATGTTTATTACATTTTTTCAGTTGGTTGCTGTAATTTTTGTCACTTCTCTTCTAATTAACTGGAGAACAGTAGACAAAAAATTTTGGAGCAACGTTTCTTCTCATTATATTTCCTTTAAGTTGAGCCCATATTAACTCTATTGGGTTCAATGTACAATAATAAGGAGGAAGTCTAAACACAGTATGCCCGTTACTACGAGCACAGTTGTTAACAACATATTCCTTTTCGTACTGTTTACTATGAACAACCTCCAACAATTGCTTTTTAATATAAGATGTCTCAAAATACAAATCTTCCGTGAATAAAAATTCCTGAATTTTTAATTTATTCCAACTATTATTTGAAGTTTTTTTCATTAATCTTGAATGATATGATGCGTTGTCCATGATAATCACACTATCTTTAAGTAATTTCGGAAGAAGACATTTTTCAAACCATGATTCAAAAATTGAACTTTCCATATCGTCATGATAATCCAGAGACGCGTTTTTAATTTGTTTTGCAGATATTAATAATGCATCGTCGACCCATCCATTTTCTCCACCGCAGTGTAAAATTATAATCCTCTTTCTTTTATTGGGCGGTACTTTTTGAGTTGAAACACTTTTTGTTATTATTTGTCCAACTTTTTTTTCACGGTGTCATGAGTATCATACCAGGTCTCATCTAAAAATAAACAATATTTCGTTTCATTTTTCGATACTCAGTTATCTGTCTGATATAATTGTTTCTTAAAGAAATTATTCTAGCTATTCTAACTTTCCATTAATGTCTGTCTCTTGTCTATAGTTTTGTACTTAAAATTATTGGCTTTAAGAAATAATCGAAGTGTTGTTGCTGAACACGAGAGAATGCACTTTCGAACTAATTCACTTCGAAGGCTTTCAATAGTTGGAAAAATATTAGCCGCATATATTTGGTATATTGTTCTAGTTATAGATTCAATTAAGTGCGGTTCTATTTTTCTGAATTTGCCACAATCCTTTCTCTTCTGTCTAGAAGAAGATGTTTCTACAATTGCCTCTGATTTAGACAATTCAGCACACATTCCTTCATAAACATTTTTTAGCATACGTTTGGCATCATCAGAAAGGTATTGAAAATGTCGCTTACGTTTTACTACACGCCTTTGTAAATCTTCCAATCGATTAGAGGGTTCCATTGTCTCTTCAGCTACATAATTATCATGCACCACGGACGCAATATTTTAAAATTATCAAACGTATAAAAACAATCACGTAAAAACGTATCAAAATAAGTAAAAACGTGAAATACAAAATGTTTTCCGTATAAAGAACCCTGAAAAAAGTCACTACCAAACTAACTTGCGGTTCACTATTTGAAATTTGAATTTTACTGAACGCTGTAGCAGTTATGATTTTACTAAAAATATTCTTGTCTCTTAAAAATCTGTTGGTCATATCCGCAATTTAAAAATAAAATATTATAAAAATTTGCCTACCTAAGTTTTCCCCGTCCCGTGCCTTCGGCACTGGACGGTCGAAACCTGATCCCTTATTTTATGATTCCGTAAGCTCAGTCAAATACTGATATAATCTTACCCCAAGTATGAATAAAGGTCTATTCTCATTAGACGTGCCAGGCCCGTGCTCGTCACCTGACCGGTATGCCATGCTTTTTGTAAATATTCACACTATTCGCGCTCGTAGCATGCTTTCAGCGGTATTTTGCACAGGCAGTCGGTGGGTAGTTGTGCAGTTGTAATGTTTTCCACGCAACTTTAGTAAAAAATCATGCATTTTTTACTTTGGATGCCGAAGAAGAAGAGAATATGAGAGATAAAGTTAAAAAAGGAGGTTTTGGATACATCCAATGATTAAGGAAAGAAACATAAAAGGAGAATACTATACCTTGTATAAAGAACTCATGGATAATGAGTCAAAATGTAGAGATAACAAAATTTTATATATATTATAGAATGTGAATTTCCGAATTTCAGCAGAATTACCAGCAGCATGCGATTTTGAACAAATTGAAAAAAAATTTTGGTTGTCGTGGAATTTTCCCAAGGGCATTAGGAGCCCTAGATGAAAAGCACATCAAAATTATAGCACCAATCAATAGTGGTTCCAGCTAATTTAACTACAAAAAGATTTTTCTGTAGTTCTACTTGCTTTAGTAGATATGTAGTTCGACTTGCTCTAGGAAATCACGATAAACCATTTTTGCCCTTAAAAAACTCACTCCTCCATTTTCCGAACTCAGGTCGCCCGTAAATTATTTTTTCTTTTATTTATATCATAATATTATCTTTCTTTTCCAACGGGTTTCATCCTACTATTATTTTTTTTTGTTTGAAATATTATCGGCAGTGGTCTATTACCTAAATAAAATATAGTGTTTTCTTTATCTACTTTAATATTTTCTCCAATATCCCACCATACCTGAGACTTATGTGCTGCATCTGCATACAATCGATTCATAAAATCGTATAATTCACTAGAGTACCTTTTTGTTGAATGATTTTATTACAGATACATATATTTCTGGGGGATGGGACCCCGTATATTTCTTTTATATGTCAATGATTTGACACATTTTTTAACTGCCGACCATATAGTTCTTTATGCAGATGATTCAACAATTGTAGTTGACGAGTCAAATGAAGTCGAACTCATATCAAAAATTAACTTAGTAGCACAGGAATTTACAACCTGGTGTAAAAGGAACTCTTTAATAGTAAATGCAAAGAAAACTATTTGTATGCAGTTCTACTCGCGCTTTAAGCAATCCCATGGTTATAAAATCACAGTTAGTTCTGAGGAAATGAAAACAATATTCAAAAATTCAAACATAAATTAAAAGCATGCTTGATCCAATTATGCGTTTACAACCTAAATGAATATTTTGACTTAATAAAAGACTACAGAGAATAAGGACCGACGGGTTCAGAGACGCTCTATATTGCATATCTTGGTTTTTTATTTTTATATTAATCTATATTTTATTGATTTTGTTTTATGTAATTGTCCTATATAACTTGTTGATCATGCTTTATGTACTATATGACTTGTCCTATATCACAATGTGATCTGATGGGATTCTTCTTCTTCTTCAGGTGCCATCTCCGCTACGGAGGTTGGCAATCATCATAGCTATCTTAATTTTTGAGGCAGTAGCTCTAAATAGTTGTTTTGAGCTGCATTTTTCCTTGCATTATGAGTCGCAGGATGCCATACTTATCGCCCCGCATCACTGATGGGATTAATAAAGAATATTCTATTCTATTCTATTTTTGCACAGTCTCACGGAAATACGAGGCTACTATACTTATCATTTTACACTGAGCGGCAAAAAAAGCGGCCACCCTATAAATTTCCGAAAATAAAAATCATTGGAAGTTTTATGCACCGTTTCATATTGCATCTCAATCTAAATATTTTTTACGATCTTGTGTGCTTGTTTTTGACAGTTTCTGTTTATGGTTCCGGTCGTAGAAGAGTTACCTCGCAAAGACGTGATGGTTTTATTGTGATGGAACTTTTAAGAAATCTCTATTCCACTGCAATTGCTGAAGAAACCGTCTGCAGGAGGTTCAAAATGGGAATGTAAGTGAGAGAACGGCAATGAAATGGGCTAGTGGCAAGAATGCAGGCTATTATTCCCAAATTACAACGCAGACACTGTAAGAACTGATTAATTTTTTCTCGACATCATCAACACTGGGATATACAGGATTGGAGCTGAATTCTCTTTACTGACGTATCGTGGTTCTATTTGAAATCTGGCAATGACCGAGAGAGGGTTTGAAGATGGAAAAATGAAAGATGTGCCCAAGCTTGTAAGTCACAGAGAATAAAGTTTGGCGGTGGTGATGTCGTAGTTTGGACTGGAATCTCACTTAAAGCTCGAACTGAACTTATTTTTGTCAATGGCCCCCTGAATGCTCACTGGTATATAGAGGATGTTTTGGCAGAAGCAGTAGTTTCATTTGGTTCTTTTATTGGGGATAAATTCGTCATTATGCATAATAATGCAGGGCCGCATACTCCCAAGAATCCTGACATATTACTTGGGAAAAGTTGGAAATAAGACTCTAGAACGGCTAGCCTGTAGCCCCGATCTGAATATCATAGAACATCTTAGAGATACAATTCATCGTAGGGATATAAGTCAACCAGGACAGCCAGATAGTCTTGCAAAACTTCAAAATATGCCTCGTGAAGAATATGAACGTATTCCTTAAATTTATATTTAAATTTTTTTCTTTCCCTTCCAAATCAAATGAAAACGGTTATTGATGTTTTAGGGCATCTTCTTCTTCTTCTTCTTTGTCAACCATTTTCCATCCACTCCTGAATGTAGGTCTCTCCCAATTGCTTCCATCTTTCTCTATCTTGCACCAATCTAATCCACTGTTTGCCTGCCACTGCTCTTATGTCATCTACCCATCTTTTTTGAGGTCTTCCATGCTTCTTGTTGTCGTCCTTAGTCTCCATTCTAGAATTCTCCGTGTCCACCTGTTGTCATTATATCGGGCTATGTGACCTGCCCAGCGCCATTTCATTTTTGTAATTTCTTCCACAATATCCCTAATCTTCGTTCTACGTCTTATCTCGGTGTTTCTAATCTTGTCTCTTAGTGATATTCCAAGCATGTTCCATTGCTTTTGCGTTGTTTCTAATTTTTTGGCAGATTTTTTGGTAAGTGCTACTGTCTCCAAGCCGTAGGTACAAACTGGTAGTATGCATGTGTTATACACCTTTTTCTTTAAGTTTATAGGAATGGAGGTGTTTTTCAAGATATGTGCTAGTTTACCGAAAGCCAGTTGTGTTCTTCTTTTAATTTCAGCATCTTGATTTGGTTTTCCTAGTTTGATAACATGACCTAGATATACTTTTAAGTCTACCGCTCCTGAAACTGCATTTAATTGTTGTAACATATCATTTAGTTCTTGGATATTATCGGCTATTAAAGCTATGTCATCTGCGAATCTCAAGTGGTTTAAGTATGATCCGTCGGCGTTGATACCCTTATTGTTCCATTCCAGTTTCCTTCTGAGCCGGTGTTAATTATTGTTCGTTGAGTACGTTGTTGTTGTGGTTGTGTATTTACCGAGTATAGTTTAATGTAGAATTTTTCAATATCCTCGCTTATTTCCTTTCTGTGTCTAACGGTGAAGTTTTTCTCATTTTTTATTTCTATGTTTTTTGTTGTGCCGCTTAAGTTTTTTGCTTTCAGTACTTTCATGTTGCAGTTGTCTTGTATTATATTTTTTATTAGATTGTTATTATAGTTTCTATGATCGTTCCTGATTTTTTTCTTCACATTTTTGTTTAAACTTTTAAGGCTGTCCGAAGTTCGATCTGTTCTGTTTCGTCTTTCTTGGAGTAGTTTAATTGTATTAGGTTGGAGTTTAGATGTTTTTGGCTGTTTTCGTGTTTGAGCATATTTTCTTAACCGATGTTGTTACAGTTACTTTTATTTTAGTGGCTAGTCCGTTTATATCCATTTGTTTCAGTGTCTCTATTGATTTTAGTCTTGTGCTTAGCTCTTTTTGGTATTCCGTTTGTTTTCGAAACAGGACATCGGTGGTTGGGTATCGTTCTCGTTTAATAAGTTTGCTTCGTTCTACTGTCGTCTGTATTTTAATGTTCGCTCTAACCAATCTATGGTCACTCCCGGTATAGAATTTGTTTAGTACTGTCACGTCGGTGCATATGTTTTTTTTTTTATTGGAGAGTATGTAGTCTATTTCGTTCTTAGTTTTCTTGTCGGGGCTGATCCATGTCCATTTACGTTGTTTAGATTTTTTAAAGAAAGTGTTGAGACAAAATAAATTTTCGTTGTTTAAGTAGTTGTACAACATCTCACCCCTTTCGTTCCTGTTGTCCAACCCAAAGCCACCGATATATTGTGTTGTTCTGAAGCTATTTTCTTGTGGCATTCTAAATTAATTACTATTAAACTGGGAATAAGCCACAATTAAAGATAAAAATACGTTTATTGACGTTTCAATTTCTACTTCGGAAATCGTTCTCAAAATTGGAAATTGAAACGTCAATAAACGTATTTTTATCTTTAATTGTGGCTTATTCCCAGTTTAATAGTAATCAATATATTGTGTGTCGCCGTCTTCTTTTGTACCAATTTTTGCATTAAAATCTCCTCTGATCATTACGAATTTTTCTTGGTTCCTTGCTGTTGTCAGATCCTCGTAGAATAATTCAGCTTCCTCGTCTGTTGAGTTTCCTGTCGGTGCATATCCATGTATTTATCTGTAAGCTGTATCTGCTGTTCAAAGCGATGACAAGATATATGACTGTTTGATACAGCACAGTACTTCGTTATTTTATAGGGAGTTCGTTTGTTTATTAGGAACGCTACACCGCCTATGTGATGATTTTCTACGGAGTTTTTCTGGTATAGTTGGTGACCAGATTTTAAGATGGTACATGCTTCTCCTGGTAAGCGAGTTTCGCACAGTCCAATTATATCCCATTTGATATTTGAGAGCTCTTTTTCTAGTTCCTTAAGGTGTTCTTGGGTCCTCATAGTTCTTATATTGTAAATGGCTATACGAAGCAATGGTGGGTAGTTTTTCTTATTAGATTCAGTCGAATATTTGCCTCCCCCAGAATCCATGAGGCTAACTGATTACTCAGTGTGAGATTCTGAGTGTATAACTCTACTCACCTGGGGTAATTTCGTATTGATACTCGACATCTTCAACTTGGTAGGTTTTAGCATATTTAAAACGGGGCTTTTAAACGAGGTTTTAGGGCATAGTACCCGATATTAGACAATTTTGTTTAAGTTCACTCGTAATTTTTATTGATTGTAATTCGTTTCGATATCACACTATTTTCTTTTGTAGCCTTCTGATTAAATACGTTATGCTAAGGAATTAAACAGTAATGCTCATTTTTGTTTTTAAAACATAAAAGATGTTGAGAATACAATATGAAACAGTGCATAAAACTTCCAATGAATTTTTATTTTGGCAAATTTATAGGGTGGCCACTTTTTTTGCCGGTCAGTGTATTTAAAACAAAAACTCGATAACGAATTGACCTGTAAAACTAGTTCGTCAAAGTATTGTTTTGCTTGTTTTTGCCCGTCGCATGCATCTACAGTCAGTCATTAGCCCTTTCACAGGTCTAATTTGTTTAATTTTACTAAATTTTATTTAATTATTATTTAAGTTTATGTAATTCTGTTCTATCTTGATTTAATTTCATTTAATTTTATTTTGCTTTATTTACTTTTTTTTAATCTGATTTAATTTTATTCAATTTTATTTATTTTTAATTTAATTTTATTTTTATTTTATTTTGGTAAAATTATAGAAAAAGTGGTCCTTGTAAAGGAACAACTAAGGGCGTTCTTTATTTGTTGTAAGTGGAACTCGAAAGACTTCAGTTTGCAAAGACCTCCCAATATTTTTCCCAATTCAGCACTAGAAATCTTTTTTAATTTCCACTGGTAAGGCAAAAAACCCGGTTCAATACATCGGAGGTTTATTTGCCTTACTTTAAAAGTTTGAATTGTTTTTATAATTTATGTATGTGGTTGGATTCGTCTGCACGAAAAGTTTTTAATATAAATAACTAGAAACCACTCAAAAGAATTTCGAAGCTAAATATTACATTACTGGTACTTTTACTACCCAGGACCGAATCCCATATTCTTTCTACTAAACGAGATTGTTAATTTAAAGTTTTGATTTTAGGTTTACAAATGCTACTTCGATTCTACTTAATTGGTGGATTGTTCGACCTACCGGTTTAGAGCTTGAATATGAACCTTCTATCAGAAAAATTGGGGAAGACCATTGGAGAAACGAAAGTTGGACCAGTCAACCCCACCATCAATTTACCAACTTACAACCATTCACCAAATATAACATGACTGTATATGTCAGGATAAAGAATACACACGTAGTTTTCCCACCGGCAATATTTAATGTTTCTTCCACAAGCGAGTCCATTCCAAGTGAACCCTGGAATGTTTCCGCTAGGCAAAGAAATGGTTCACATGTATTGATATCATGGAATAAGCCACGTACGCCTAATGGACTTATTGTTTCCTACGAACTTTGCTGGATATTCCCAAATTCAGCTGAGATTAGGCTTAAATTATCTGGCAATGAAACCGCACATATGCTTTCACAAGACTTTGATAATGGACTTAATTACACCTTCTGGGTAATCGCTCGTAATAGAAAATACGAAAGTAAAAAGTCTCTACCGGCTACATTAATATTTGATGGAAAATCAAGTATAGAAGGTGTTAAAAATATTAAAGTAAAAGAAGAAGATGACACCATTTCTCTGACGTGGGATTATAGTAAAGAAGCAGAAGGATTTGATGTAAGAATCTTTACAGATAGACCATATCCCAATCTACCTTCTAGAACCACATCAACTAAAAACATTACGCTTAAGTTAGCGCCTGGAGTTAATTATAGAGTTGGGGTGAGTATTCTAGCAATTATATGAAAACCTGCGCACTTTCAGACTGAAAATTACTTAACACGTTCAATGCCATTGGGGTCAGCAGTCACCTCAACTGGGATCTAAGGCCTCGTTTATATTCCCAATTATTTACAATCTGTAATTTAATTACAATAAGTGATAAGTAAATAGTTTATTTATCTACAGGTAACTTGCATAAATGTGACCTGTAACAATTTACTATTTCAAATCTTCCTGTTTCATAATTTTAACAACAATATTTGTGAGTTTGGGGTATTCTTCTTCTTCATGTGCCGTGCTCGATTATCGATCGTTGGCTATCAAATTGGCTATAGTAATTTTGTTGACGGCAGCTCGGAAAAGAGATGCAGAGGATCTGTTAAACCAATCTCTCAGGTTTCTAAGTCATGACGTTCTTCTTCGACCCGGACCCCATCTTCCGTCTACCTTGCCTTGTATTATTAAATGGAGTATATTATATCTCTCTGGATGGCGCATAACATGTGCAAATTATTCAAGTTTGCGATTTTTAACTGTTTTGACGACATCCGTAACTTTTCCTATCCGATGCAAAACAACTTCGTTACGAACTCTATCCACCCAACTTATTCGTAGGATTCTCCGATACACCCAGATTTCAAAGGCTTCCAGTTTCTTGAGAAGTGTATCCGTCACAGTCCAACCTTCGACACCATACAAAAGAGTAGAGAACACATCACATCTCACTAATCTAATTTTTAGTCTTAAAGTAATATTGTTTCCACATAACAGTTTCTTCATCTTAAAGAATGCAGATCTGGCCTTCTCTATCCGTATTATAATTTCTTTGCTCATGTCCCAGTTCTCATTTAAATTACAACCAAGTGATACTGTTAGTTCTCTCCAGTTGTTCACCATAAGCTGTTACCACTTCCGGTTGTATTGGCGTTTTACTGCCGACCATCACCTTTGTCTTTGCGGTGTTTAGCTTAAGGCCAAATTCATCACACGTTGTGGTAATCCTATTAATTAGATGTTGAAGTTATTCTTAATTGCTTGCAATTAACACTGTGTCATCCGCATATCTCAAATTATTAATATTGACGCCATTCATTTTTTTACCACATTGAATATTATTCACTGCTTTATTGAAAACGAACTCAGAATAGATGTTAAATAGTAGCGGGGACAAAATGCAGCCCTGCCTTACTCCTCTTCCTATTGAAGTTTGGGGTGTAAATAAATAAAATAAATATATAATTAAATTAATTTTATAAAACCTTATCGGTGGATTTTTTTCAGAGGTGAATCGAAAAAACCGCTAAAATCAACCATTTTTTTAATCAACGGTTTTAATTCATGGACCGTTTTAAAGCTGGAAAGATAGTTCTCTGGATAATATTTATTTATATTATGTCGTTTAAATACGCGCATGCTGGATACTGTTCGACGACTTAGTTTGAATATTTTTCACCGATATTTTTTCACTCTCCAAAACAAAATTTTTAAATAATATGAATAATATTCGGTGGGACTAGAAACCTGGTCCAACTTTAGCATGGTTTTGATTAATATTCGTTCTATAAGGTATAAAACAGATGAATTATTTTTGTTTCTTGAGGAATTTGGATTTCACCCTATAGTTGCGGTTACCGAACACTGTCACCGAGCCTTTTTTTCTAGAAAAATATACCACAATTGCTAGGTATTATCGTCCAAGTTCAGCTCATGCTGGCACCCTAATTCTTTCTACAAATAATGATTTCTCTCCTATAACAAAATATGACTTTCTGTTGAATGAATCATTTTTTTGAGTTTTCATTGGTTTATAATAAGAATTTTAATATATACATTTTTTGCATTTATAGATCATCTGACTTTTCCACGGAACTATTTTTTCAGAACTTGTTAAAGGCTATAGCGGGATAAGATAGTCAAAATTGCACCATGCTCGATTCAGTTTTGGGCCTGGCCATTCGAAAGGACATAATTAAAAACTCACTCAGTTAAATTTTCAAGTCCCTAGGTGCCTCTGGAGTTTCGCTATGGGAAAAAACGTATTTAAAAAAAATTTTAGACGCTGTATTGCTGCAAAAAATCTGAAAAAATTCATGAAGGCGTAGTTTAATAATACAATACTACCTGATTTTTAGCTTGAAAATTGCGCCAAGGAAAAATATTTGAAATTTTCAGTAATATTTTAGGTTATGTCGTAAATTTTTGGCCAACTTTAAAATAATGTTTTTTTATGGGTTTTTTCTGTTCTTTCGAAAGGCGTAGGTATTATTATCATTTTCAATGTGGAAAGTGCCTAAAAATCGAAAAAACTTCTTTTTTTTCTGAAGCACCCCCACCCCTTAACAATAAATTGTAGGGCTCAGGAACAAAACAAATAAGTATTACATAGAAAACAAAAAATTTATTTATGCTGCCATAAGATACAATAATATCAGTTTTTATAAAATAAAAAAGTTGTTAATAAAATAAACATAAATTAGGTTTTTTAGTGAGATGGATGACTCATAACCTTAACAACATACATCTAAATTAATGATAATTCATATTTTTATACGTATTCTTACCTTTACAATCGAAATAAGCTATTAAAACTATTATTTTTTTCCTGCAGCATGCTAAAAAAAAACGAAAAACACCGTTTTTCGGCGTTGTTTTTAAGCTTTCGCTATATAATCTCTAAAGTCAGTGTCTAAATGAACGGTAATTTACATTTTCACATGTATCTTTCCCTTTACAATTAAAATCAGTTATTCAAAGAGTTAGTTTTATCTCACAACATTCTGAAAAACCGAAAAACCCCGTTTTCTCCATGTTTTTACTACATAACCTCAAAAGACTCTGAAAAATGAATCGTGAATTAGAACGCACTTGTACACTCAAAAGTTGTAGAATTATAAGCTAGCGAATATATCTACATATATACGTGATATTACAATGTACATGCATTTATACACAAACGCATATTTATATAGTTCCATGACTTTTGAGATCCTTGTTATATACATTCATAAGCTCGTACCATGCTCGTCCATGCCTTAGTCTTCCCCTTAGATACAAGAGCCTTATACCCATGCTTATATTAATTTTATTTTATATGTACTTAACTGTTTTGGCCTTCATGTCTTAGCCCGACATCCCGCATATCCAGGGAGCCTGATTGTAACAGAAAACATGGCGTTGATAGTTGCGCCACACGGTAGTTGATATTAGGCGGCGTAACTACCAACGCCATGTATATATGATATAATCAAGCTCGCATTATATATTGCTCTTAGTGCGTTTGCGTGTGTAGGGCCATATCCTCTGTATCGCTCTTAGTCAGTTTGCGTGTTAGGGCCTTTATCTTTTCGGCGGGGCTTTTCCTCAAATGTTCAATAGCTCTATTTTAATAGACTCTGAAAAATGAATCGTGAATTAGAACGCACTTGTACACTCAAAAGTTGTAGAATTATAAGCTAGCGAATATATCTACATATATACGTGATATTTCAATGTGCATGCATTTATACACAAACGCATATTTATATAGTTCCATGACTTTTGAGATCCTTGTTATATACATTCATAAGCTCGTACCATGCTCGTCCATGCCTTACTCTTCCCCTTAGATAAGATAAAAACTTGTAATTATATTTATGGGCAATCTCTAAACATAAGGCACTCAAAGAAGAAGTGTAATTTAAGGTAGTGTATAATTAGTTACAAGATAGAAAAATTGAATATAGAAAATATAAGGTACTGAAACTGTTTTCTTGGGGCAGTAGGCTATTGCCTATAACACCGCTGCCAAGCAAGTCAACTTCAATTTTGGGATTTAAAATATAGTTGACACCTTTTATTTTACTTGATTAAATCATCCTATTCCGAATTTGAAATGAAATTACTAAAAACGTATTTTTTTTTTTTTAGATTAACGCATTTAAAAAGGATCTTGTTGGACCAACGGGGTACATCAGTTTTAGGAAAGCAGGCAATCCTCTACCTGAAATCGAATCTTTACAAGTAATAGTTCTAAAAGATATTGGTACAGCTGTGAAGTTGAGGTGGGATAGGCCAAAGTATGCGAAGAAACTGAATTGGTTGTATGGCGTCTATTATGGTATCAACCACCAGCAGCTCTTTGAAAGTAAGTTTTCAGGTTAAAATTTCAGGTGATAATAAACATTTGATATGAAAATAAGGAAATGATCAGTGTATTATATCTCTGACATACTGATCCTAATAAATTGACAAGTAAATATTAAAATTATAATGGCGAGTCTTTATTTTGTGATATACTCCTCGTTTCATCCAAAAATACAATAAGTAGTAAAGTTTAAATACTGTACAATTTTCATTGATAATAAAGAATATTACTTATTTACTTAATTATTTATTTGTATTGCTATTAAGGCTAAAAATAACCAAAAAATTAGCTTTAGAGCATTATAATAAATATACTCCAGAGATGGGATTGAAATAAATCGTAATTCGTGTGGTCAACAGAACAATGTCGTTATCTGTATATAGTCGATATAAATAGTAGCTCTTCAAAGTTTTCGCTTTTTTTATGAATGTTGCATTAATTATATTTAAGATCTTCTACTATTGTAGTTATAGTCGTGATAATTTAATCTTTTTTCACTTATTGTTTGTCATTACAATTTTGCAAAACAAATGATGTAAAATTCAAAATATTTGTAGGTCCTAGAAATACAACTATAAATGAGAGTATCACAATAACGAACTTGGATTCCTGTGAAAACTACGTGTTTTCTGTTGGTTTGGTTGGTCCTATTGGTTTCGGACCTTTATCCGGAAATATACAACAAGTTAGTACTTCTGAAAATCCCAGGGCTCCGCCTAAGAGACTTATGGTTCAAGAAGATGGATTTGATCCTCTTCAGATGAAAATATCTTGGATACCGCCTTGTCCGTCACGCCAACCAGAGTTTTACAAGGTAAATTATTTATTTGTTATTTATAAATATGTTATAAAATCAGTAAAATGTACAGTTTAAACATAAAAAGGGAGTAAACAAAACGTCGCAGAAATCGTCTGCAATGTATTGAAATATATGGCGTTGGAAGCAGAGCATAGAGAAGTTTAAATTCCTTTTTCAAAATTATATGAAAGGCAAAATTGACATTGTATATGCACTTGGTATAATAAGCAAGAGCACAGTTAAAAATATTGAAAAGCAAAGAAATAATATCGAAGAATGGGAACTTTCGTCCTTTTTTACAAAATATATAGGCTAAACAAAGAAAAAGCAATCACCAATTTAGATAATGTTAATACAAAAATATTTCGAAGACACCTACTCTAAAAAGATTACTCCAAAAATTTACAGAAGACTCTAAGTTTGCTGGTTCTAGAGAAGGTTTACATAAAACGTACCATGGGTTATCGATACCATTTAGGAAAAATATCCGAAACAAGAAAAACTAAACTTAGATAACCTAAAAGTCTCTGAGGTACAAGAAAGATTTGAGAGAACAGTGAGTGAAAAATTACTAGAAGAAAACATAGAAGAATTCACAATAGAAAATCATTGGAACACCATAAGCACTATCATACTAAACACGGCACAAGAAGTTCTTGGAACAAACACTCAACGGAGAGAAGAACAGTGGTTCGATGAAGAATGCAAACAAGCTATTCACGAAAGAAATGAAGCACATAAGAATTTCATACTCAGACGAACTAGAGAGAGAAGAACAGAATTTGAGAATAAAAGAGGAAGAGCTGATAAACTATACAGACAGAAAAAGAGACGGTACGAAAACAACCGGATACTAAACATAGAGAGGGCGTTCAAGGAAAACGAAACACGCAGTGCATACCAACTTATCAAACATTTAAGACAGGGTTACAAACCGAAGACTAGCCTATGCAAAAATAAGAATGGGGAAATAATTAGCGATATGGACGAAATTAAGAGAACCTTGATGATGTATTTTAAGGAATTATTAAACGAAAGGGCACAAACACCACTACAACAGCGGCAGCAGCAGGTAGAACAGGAAGGTCAACAACAGGAGCTGTGGGAAGATGGAGAAGATAATGAATTGGCTAGACCTCCAACGCTAGAGGAGGTTCGAACAGCAATCCAAATGCAAAAAAGCCATAAAGCGCCGGGAATAGATAAGATACCGGCAGAACTGTTCAAGCAGGGAGGAACAAATTTGACAGAACAGATGTACCAGCTTATACAAGAAATATGGAGAGAAGAAAAAATCCCACAACAATGGAAGAAAAGTATAATCTGCCCTATTCATAAAAAAGGAGACAAACTGTTATGCCAGAATTATAGAGGCATCTCTTTACTTTGTTCGGGATACAAAATACTCACAAACATTCTTAATCGAAGACTTCAACCCCTCACTGAAAAAATTATCGGGGAATATCAAGCAGGGTTCAGGCAAAATAGATCTACTATTAACAAACTATTTACAGTTAAACAAATACTAGCCAAAGCATGGGAATATGACATAGACGTCTACAATCTCTTTGTAGATTTCAAGCAAGCCTATGATTCAATAGATAGAACAATACTACCTAATATATTATAAGAATTTGGCATACCATCAAAATTAATAAGACTAGTGCAGATGACAATGACAGAAACAGAAGCACATGTATGTATTCAAGGACAGATCACTGATGCGTTTATGACAACGCAAGGACTGAAAACAAGGTGACGGACTGGCTCCAACACTTTTTAATCTTGTTCTTGAATATGTAATTAGACGGTTGACGGTGAGCAGAAAATAACATACTTACAAACAAATCTACCCAATTAGCAGCATACGCAGATGACATAAACATAATGAGCAGAACAAAGACTGCGGCAGAAGAAACCTACGTTCAGTTGAAACAGAGTTCAGAAGTTGTAGGGCTAACAATAAATACAAATAAAACAAAACTACTCATACAAACCAGATCAAATAGACAGGCGCAACAACAACAATTTATAGACGATATAGAATACGTGAATAGATTCACGTATTTAGGAATGGATCTGGTCGAAAATAATGAAGAAGAACCGGAAATAAATAGAAGGCTTATGCTGGCAAACAAAGCCTATTTCGCGATGGGCCACATATTCAAATCGCGAGACGTACACCGGAAAACAAAACTCCGGGTATATAAAACAATACTCCGACCCATAGTAAGTTATGGGTGTAAAACATGGGTTTTAACACAGAAATCTACCAATGCATTAGACGTGTTCGAAAGAAAAATATTGCGTAGAATACTGGGTACTGGGTATTGCGTAAATACAATAAAGGAAAATAACAACTGGCGAATTAGATATAATAACGAAATATACGAACAATACACTGAACCAACACTAGCACAATACACTAGACTGCAGAGATTACGATGGGCAGGGCATGTGGCCCGCATGCATGAGAACAGAATCCCCAGAAAATTACTAAACGCAAGAATGCAAGGAAAAAGACCTGTTGGAAGACCAAAAAAGAGATGGCAAGACGAGGTAGATGAGGATGCCAAAAATCTCCTAAAAACGCGTTCATGGAAAAGAGGTTTAGTGAAGGAGGCCAAGGCCCGGCTTGGGCTGTAGTGCCATTGGATGGATGGATGGGTTATCGATAGCGTAAAATAAAAAGTAATCGAAAATCGGTTTGATAGTAACGGTAACGAAGGGTTATTATGAACACCAGTCTCGAGAGGTCAACGGTTAGTCGTAGTTCATGCTGGGTCATGGAGCAATCCAAGAAGTGGATAATGTGCATAGTAATATTGAAAGTTTATGGAAAAAGCGGAATTTTATTCACTGCTTTCATTTATACGGAATTTGACGTCTGTGAATAAAATACGTCCTTTTTGCGATTAAAAGATTTTACAGACTATGATAAGAAGATAGAAAGTTACAGTATCTCGGCCACGTTATGAGAGGGCATAAATATGTGTTGCTACAGGAAAAATACAGGGAAAACGAAGTATTGGAAGAAGACGCATCTCCTGGCTCAACAATCTGAGAAAGTGGTATAATTGCAGTTCCGTCGACTTGTTCAGAGCTGCAATCTCAAGAAGAAGACAGACTATGAGACCTGTTCCAAAACTTTGGCTTTCAAAAAAATTTCATTTTCAAAAGTTATGTTAATTAAATTTACACAATTTGTTGTTTATTTGTAAAAAAAATGTTTATTTTTTTAATATAATTGCATTATTTTCTCATTTCTTAGTAAGTGATATAGAGTTCTAATCTCATTTATAAAACAAGTGTGTATGTGGAAGATAGAACTGTGTTAAGTAACAGAAAAGCATCGAGATTTAGAAACAAAGTTCTAACTGCGTTTTGATGCATTTTTTTATTTTTTATATATGTAAACAAAATAGTACATACGTTAGCTTATTTTTTCTAGTAATTTATAGTAATGTAATCTTCGGCATTATCAAAAAAATCTGTAACTTTAAAACTTTGATCACCTGTAATTCAAAATGGCATCGGCACAACATGGAACTTTGTTATTCCAAAGCAAAGAGATATTGAAAATTTTGCTATGCTGTGCAAAAAGAACCGTCCCTCTTGGACCGTACTTATGGACTCCCAAGATTGGCTTTGTACCGAGTATTTTCTAGCTGATCCTCTTCTCGTAGGCATGCTCATCAGCTATTCTATTGCCGTGGACTCCAGTGCCAGCATGAAACATGTGCCGGTAGTTTATTCCAGGTAGATAGCTCATCTAACACTAGCCTAGAGACTGACTACCTTTTATATATATATATATATATATATATATATATATATATATATATATATATATATATATATATACTCACCGAGACATGGTTAATTTATTTCATTTCTTTCTACTTGGTCCGATTTGATTCGGATCCCATTGACATACTCCAACTTCTTTAAACCGTCAGAAAAATACGTTTTCTCGGGTCTACAAAGCAAGCCTTTCTGATGACGATGACCTCCTAATTCGACACAAATTAATGCCAGGCGAAAGACTTTGTCAAGTACGGAAACAAATAGAAGTCACACGGGAACAAATCCGGATAATACGGTGTACGGGGCAGCAGTTCGTACTCTAATTCTAGTCCAATTCGACCAGGTATTGATGTAGTCCACCAATATGACAGTTACGATTGTTCCTTGTTCTCTGGTTTATACCAGTAGACCCATGTGTCGTCCACGATCACGAAACTCCTTTTGTCAAATACTGCCCTGACGTAGTCTCACGGTTGCGCTTGTTGTCTGGAGTGAACAAACGCGGCACCCATCACGCCGACAACTTTGTCATGCCCAAAATGTCATGCAGGCCTTTTCACTGGTATTTTGAGATTCTTATTGTGCACCTCCAATCGGCAGTCATCCAACGCGATATCATGGATTTTTGTCACATTATCAAGATGACGAAATTAGAAACACAAATAAACTGCTGGCTTAATAATATACGAATTCACGAATTTCCTGTCGAACTCTTATGACTACCTGTCAAATTGGAGTTATTTACAGGATTTTGGTTGTAGGTTGCGGATTCAGTTGTTTATTTCTTGTGGGAATGAAATTATACACTGCACTTTTTTACCGATTTATTAACAATACACTATACACTTTGTTAAATAAATGATTTTTCTCTTTTATACTTTTATTCTCTTTAGAGAAGGCGCGAGAGAGGGAGGGAGAAAAAGAAAACTTTTTGTACGCGAGAGAAAAAACTGGTGAGAGCAATTTTCTTCGTTGAGTTACTTTATGAGACAGAGAGAGTGACGAAGCCGAAGTCACAGAATAAATAACAATCAGAATGTCCACTCTCAGATGCCGCCTGTCGAGTATGTCAGTACGTGATCGCCATATTTTAAACGGAAACATAGACTCGGATTGACAAATTTTTGATAAACTACGACAGAACTGTAATTTAAATTTTTGGATATTAATAATTTAGTAAATTTGAAATAATTTAATCTATTTTTCAATTAAAAGAACGAATAAAATAGTGTATATTATGTCTATGGTTGCCGTAAATAAATTCAACCGGGTTCATTTTTGTATGCAGACCAGATAAAATTTAACTGAACAGCACTGGTTCCGTTTAAAACATGGCCGATTCCGTCTGCGCAAACGAGATGCGCGTACTTATTTTGACAAGCAGATTGGGCATTCTGATTGTTTATTATTCTGTGCCGGAGTGATTTTGGTGAGGAAGCGAAAGATATCTGAATGTCAAGGAGGTTTGTTGACATTTGACAACATAAGGTATTTCGGACATCTGGCAATTTACAGGGGTGGCGGTAATTTCATTTAAAATAATACAAATTTGTAAAATTATGCTTTGTTTTCCAACACAACAGAAAATCAATAGTTGCCAGCGTCCTAAAGGAGGTCTATAACCTAAAAAGAAAAATATTATTTTTTGTTACAAATCGAATTTGACGTGAATTTGATTTATTATTGGTAAAAAATATACTTTACATGTTTTATCTATTTTTCAGATTCTGATTACAGAAAAGAGCACAACGCAGACATATTTCCGCAAGGCAGATGGTTCCCATGCCAACACCTACGTCTTTAAAGTATTACTTGGTGGAATTTACGAAATTAAGGTTGCTACTGACGAACCTAATGCGATATATTCAAAACCGGTAAAATATTCTGCCCCTGCCATATCGCCTCCCGTTGAATTAAGAGTAAGTATCATCTAATCTATTTATTTAAAAATACCTGTGTTTGATATTAACTTTTACTATCACTCCTTGCGTATCATAACACAAGGGTTATGCTTTGTCTAAGGCATCATATGATGATAATTGGCATCACCACAAAACTCGTTTTCAATGTTCTCTTCAACGGCAAACTCGCATCTGTCGTCATTTGAAACATCACTACTGCCGTCTACTAAATGACACCTAAACTAATTTTCCCATCTATAAGTGACAGCCGAACTAATTTCTCACTACCAAAATCCCCACTTTGCAGACTTTAATTGTAATTTTGTACAGTACAGTTAATTTAAAAATTCCGACAGTATGGATAATGAACATTTGCTTAAAATAAAGCTTATTGAAGAGTTAATCATTTAACGTAGTTATTTTGTACCTAAGTTCAAAAATTATTAGATAATACCAAATTTTAGGCAGGTTACCAAGTAAGTTATGACATGGATTCATTTAAGTACAATTATGAAAAATTTACTTTCTTTGGAAATTTTAACTAGATATCATTAAAATAGAAAGTTTAATGTTCACGTACATAATCATAAGTTAAAGATTTGTTTTGAAATAGTGACGATAACTTATTGTACCTAAATGAATGCAAATTTATGAAAATGACTAAATAACCGATTAATTGGTCTCGTTTCTGCCCCGTGTGCTGTTGCTTAGTTAAGCCGCTCTTCTTCTTACGGTGCCTTATCCTTAAGGACGTCGCCATTATATTTGCCCATTTAATCTTATTTGTAGCAGCCCTGAATAGTTCTATGGAGGTCATGTTCGTCCAGTGCCGTGGGTTTTTAAGCCAAGAATTGCGTCTTCTTCCTGGTCCTCTTTTGCTATTGACTTTGCCTTCGATTATAAGTTGGAGCAGTTCATACTTTTGATTTCTTATGATGTGACCAAAATATTGTGTTTTCCGTTCTTTTATTATAAGCATAAGCTCTCTTTCCTTATTCATCCTCCGCAAGACTTCCGCATTTGTCGTATGGCTCATGTAGGATATTCTGAGCATTTTACGGTAACACCAGAGTTCGAATGCTTGGATTCTTTTTTGTGTTGCTTCTGTCATTGTCCAGGCTTCAACACCATAGAGCAAGGTGGAGAAAACATAGCACTTAAGTATTCTAGTTCTCAATAAGATGCCCAGCTGGCGGTTGCATAGAACTTTTTGCATTTTGTAAAACATTGTACGTGCCTTTTCCAGGCGTATTCTTATCTCTAGGTAGTGGTCCTAAGTTTCATTAAGATTCCTTCCAAGGTACGTTGTTCTTGTTACTCTTTCCAGATCTGTTCCGTCGACATTGACCTTCACCCTTCTGTTTTGGTGCTTGCGATGACCATCGTTTTTGTCTTCTTTGTATTCAATTTCATTCCAAATTCTTTACAGGCTGTCGTTACTCGGTCCATTAAGCATTGCAGGGCTTCAGCATTATCTGCCAGTATGACAGTGTCATCAGCATATCGCAGATTATTTATACATTGCCCGTTTATAATTATAACATCCGAGGTGCCTTCCAAAGCTTTCTGAAATATCTTCTCTGAGTAAACATTGAACAGCAAAGGTGATAGGACACGTCCCTGTCTTACTCCCTTCCCGATATTGATTTTTCCAGATGTTTCTAGTTAAGCCGCTAGTCATTTTATATTAAAACCTTTTTTTTAATTTCAGGTGGCAGCAAGAAATAATGGCAGTTATGTAGTAGATTGGAAAGGCGCAGACTTAGCCCAGAATATCGGAAAGTATCGATATGAAGTCTTAGTACATGCCGGTAATACCTTAAACGAGAGCCGCGCGCAGAAGTTTATTGTGGATGGACCACCATTTGTATACACAAACTCGTCTTCTAAAATGTACACTTTTGCTGTAAGAATAAAATCAGCCAAAGGTCTTAACTCGGAAATGTCGAATACCCTGAGTTTAGAAAACCTTAATGTGCAAGCTCCTCAAAATATGACCGCCGTCATTGTGCCGACCGTTTTAGTCATTATTGCTTTATTAGCCGTTGTTACATTCCTTATTGTAAGAAATAAGAAACTTCAGAGCAGCTTTACGCGCTTCACAAACTCTCATTATGATACCAGATCTGAAGCAGCCACATTTGACGACAATAATTTAGAAGAAGATGACAGTCCTCATATTAGGGGATTTGCTGATGACGAACCCTTAGTTCTAGCGTAATAATTTTTTCCAAAGAAAAAATAATGTGAAAATATTAATAAGTTGCTTAAATGATTACGTAATAAAATGTATATGGGTTTTAACTACAGCCATGGTTGTATAAGTACCGATCTAACATAAAAAAAATCAAAAACATTTGCAAAATATCGGTTTCTCCCAACATTTTTCCATTTACTGAACACGACACATTTTGTGGTGGTGTTGCTTCTATACCCTGCTCATATTTAAAACTATCGTATTTGATTATTTCATTATTCAGTCTTCAGTATATCAAATCTTTTACTACCACGTCATATATATTCAAGTTATGATAAAATAATAATCTGATGGGTTTGAATATAGCGAACAGAGTGCATTCTAATGAAATTCAAAGTTGACCAAAAAGCCGATGTCATATCTTCAAATGCAACCTGTGATGTAACAAATGATGACTCTAGGTAGAGTATTTAAAGGTCGATCAATATTCCGTGAGCTTTTTTAATTCATTTAATGCGATGGATTAGTCCGCATATATCCTTTAAGCTATTTTCAAAAATCATATGTTTTTGCTTTATCTACTATATTTTTCGACTGAATCAGTTCCGAATTTTTTCTTTCTAGTATGAAATTTCCATGTTTGATATATCCTGTAGCAGTTGGTGTTTCCATCTTATTTTTGGTCTTCCTCTTGTTGGTCTTTTTCATTTGTCTCTCTCACTTTCTACTTTATCATTTGCTTCTTTGAGTGTCATTTCTAACTCCATTTTTTTCTTTAACTCTCTGATACAATCCAAGGTATCTTTTGGCTCTCTGTGTAGGATTTCGTTCACCATATAATCGTGCCTTGACAGAATTTCACACATCATTGGTAACATATCCTCATTTTGATCACCGCTTTTATTTGGTGATTTCTTCGTAACCTTGCTCTTTGCAAATACTTCTTTTTTTTTCGTACCCATCTCTGATTCTCCTTTTCCAATTGTCAGCACCGCTACTTTCATACTCTGTTCTTGCCGTTAACGGTTTCCTTTTAATGTTCTGTAGTAAAATCTAGTGTTCTTTATAATAATCTAATCTAATGTTTGTTATAATAAAATTCAATTGTGAACCTTTTCTTTTTTTGGGTACTAATTAACGTTCTTATAACTCGTAGGGTGCAAAAATTCAAAATAAGAAATCAGACCTTGACCTTTATCCGTACGGTGGTTTAAAACTGGGATTCCTAGTTTAATTCATTATAACCTTATTTAATTATCTTAGCTTTACTTACAGTGTTCGGTTATCTTGACATTAACTACACTTCTTTTAAATACTATTTGCAATGATTTAATTGTGGAAAATTAAAACTCACTGTTTCTCAATTAATTGCTTGCCTGGGTGGCATAGAACCAATCCTATGACGACGTATTAACACAAAAATTCTTCTAAATTCTAAGTACAGGATTAATAAATATTTTTGAATTGACTATGTTTGCCTATGTTTTCTGCTGCAACAATATTTTTAAACTTGTCAATAGAAGCCTCCTATCGGTGAGATCATGTACTTCTGTAACATTTTTGGTACTAATCAGTCGTACTAAAGAAACATTTATTTTGAAAAACGTACATTTAATTAGTACATTAATACAGATTATTTGTTCATTCCCTTTGGGAACTGTTTTTTGAAATATGGCTAAGAACAGTTTTCAAATAGATAGGCTGTATTTTTAAATCAATATATACAGTTATGATAGATTTGTTGCGTCACTTGTTAATATTTAAACATTGTTAAACGTGTATTGACTCTGGGAAATGTATATGTTAAGGTACTAAAATCATTTTATTCGACTTTTAAAAGATTTTTGTGATTTTATGTGTTGCTCAGTTACCAAAAATATATGTATTATGTAATTAATGACTTGTAAGAACTTGATAATTTTTTATGATCAATATATTACATGATATATTTTATTATTACAATACTATAAAACTATATCTAATTGGGTACTATGTTATGGAATGTATTCTAAAGACAAATTCAGTTACTATTAAGATTGATATTATTATATAATTCAATCATTAATGTTAAACTGACAGTTTCATCAGTCAGGACTACATCAGGTCGAAGGCTACGTCGAAGTTTTGACACCCTTTCTGTATACAGTCGGAACTTTCCACACCTAATATGATAAATCGAAAGTTATGTCCATTACTACACCTATTGGCTCTACAGTGCAGTGTATAGGTACTTGTGCTTATTTCTTTTCTAATGTTAAGGTCTAATCAGTCTTCGCCAGTTATTCTAGTGACTTTTACCACTTTTTTCAGGCCTATGTTTATTTTATTGTGCATTGTCTATATGACTTTCTTGGTTACATTAAGAATTTTTGTCTAAATGGCTTGAAATGTCTGTTTTTAATCACAAAGTTTTGCTGGTTTTCAAGTTAAGATTGTCAATAATGTGTACAAATGTATCGTTAATGCATAAATGTTGTCCACACATACAACCGCTTCAAAAACATGAAAGTATTATATCTCATTAATTTTTCTAAAGTAAAATAAAGCTGTGTAGATGGCAAATACGCCCCCATGTCCATTTGTCAGTCTTTTTTAAATTTTTGTAACACTGATTGTGACTTATTCTTATTCTTCTTTAGCAGCCTCTTCTGATTCATTTCTAAACATAGACCTTCCCTTGCGTTTTCTATGTTCGTCTTGAGCTATGATGCCAGTTTCTCCCTGCTTTTTCTTTATCGTCAACCGTTTATGTGCTCTTGGTCGTTATTGTATTAGGTCAACTTTTCTTCGCTCTCTCATGCTATATGTCATGACTATTTCCATTTTGCGGTAGCTTCGATAAAAATTTTTACTTTTATTGTTGGTCTGAAATCTTCGTTTCTCATATGATCTTTTCAGTTTTCATTTGCTATTATCCTCTTAATAGCTCTTTGAGTTGCTTTAAGTCTATGGAGATATTGGTTATCTATATAAGTATCATGGTTTCATTCCATAAGACAGGAAGGATACATGTGTCAAAAACATTTCGTTTTAAATGAATTTGGATTTTTGAATCTTCTATAATACAGCTTACCTACTGCTATCCAGGTTATTCTTATTTTTCTTGTAATTTTTACAGTTTGATTTTGTTTTACTTGCTTTATTTTATTTTCCAAGTACACATATTCTTCTACATTTTCAATCTTTCTATCAAATGTTGATATGCACTTGTTCAGTTAACATTACCTTATATTTTTCAATATTAATTTTTAGTCTTACTTTCTCTGATACTTGTTTTATATTAAAACTTCTTGCAACCCCTTTACACAAGTACTAGAAGAGTGCACAAAAGAGTGGCTAGAAAACTGTACAGTGTAACATTCTATCTAAATTTTTTACTTTATCGGTCGGTCAAGGTATTCTTACAAGTTACTTGTTTAAATGGTGCATCTCTGTATAACTTCAACAGCAAACTGTGTCTAGTTATTTAGTTAAATTTAGATAAGTTGTTAAAATGGTTTTTATTTGATTATATTTAGTTAATAGCAGTACATATACAGAGCTGCGCTAGTAATATTTCCTATTATTAGTATTTTTACGGGATCTTGAGATAAGAAAATGTGATGTCTAGTTATTAGTTTACCTTTATAAGTTATATATCGATGGAAATGATGTAATGGAAACATGTCTGTGTATATAATATAGATTATTCATGATTATTAGAGACTGACTCTATTTAAGGTTTCCAGAAAGGTTGTAGACATTTTTGTTGATATACGTATTCGCTGATCCTATAGTAATATAATGTAGCAAAATTAAAAATGTTTTTAACAAGTTTCTTTTATTTAATTATACAAAAATTTATTTTATAGCTCAGTTATGTAGTGGTATGTATTATTCAAATATTTTATTATTTTACAATAAATGAAAAATATAACAATAATGTTTTCGGCCAAATAGTTCGTTAGGATTAACCAGGACTATAATATATCAAGGTGGCAAAAAAAGAGCGCCTAGACAATTAAAAGTAAACATGCCCTGATTCTCGTCACTTAGACGAAGTACAGTATAGCCTAAAATAAACAGTACTGAACTTGTAATTATTTTATTGTTTTAAAAAATACATATTATTGACACATGTTCTAAATGAGCTCCTTCTCTCTCAAGACAGACTGCATACCGATATTCCAGATTTCTCGTAATGTTATGGAATAAAGGTTATCCTCGAAGTCAAGTCTTCGAAGAAGACTCTATCGGCATCCTTTAACTCATCGATGGTTTGTGGTAACCATTTAAAAACGGCAGTTTTAGCCATGCCCCAAAGTATGCGTCTGGAGAATGTGCAGGATAGGGGAAGTCAGTAAATCGTGAAATGAATTTGTTTGGAAAATGTCCCTGAAGAAATTGACAACTGCGATAGCAGTATGGCAAGTTGCCCCATCCTGCTGAAAAAATTGGTCTCGAAATACCAAATTAAGTGCACGACAAAATTGACGTAGATCAGGGATAAAGCCTGTTAAAATTTGTATGTACCTCTGTTGCCTCCCATTTTCTTCGATAAAGTATGGACCAATGATTCCGTGTCGCGAAGTTGCGCACTAGACACTCACTTTTGCGCTATGTAAAAGAACTTCTTGAACTGGTCTGGCAAAGCCCAGAAATCGATTTGTGGCGACGATTTACATGGCCTGACAAATAAAATGTGCTTCGTCTGAAAACCATATATTTTTCAAAAATTCAGGATTTTCATACTATAATGCAAGAGTTCTTGCACAATATTCCACTCTACTGTGATAATCCGTGGGATGTAATTGTTGATGTACCTGAATCACATACGAAAATGCACCCAGCTCCCAGGATTCTTTACAAGAAAGTTCGTTTTCGCTGTTTTTGTCTAGCTGGCTTTCGGATTTTCCAAGATTCGTTAAAAATCACGTTCATGGCTATCGTTGTTAACTGTCCTGGAATGCCCCGAGTTTCGTTTTCGTTGGCACAATACATTACCCGTATTTCTAAACTTTTCGACAACCTTTAAAATTACTACA